AGGTTGTTCCAATCCCTGCTACAAAGTTTAGACCAGTGAGTAATTGTATACTTATTTATTCAAATACATGTACTTTGCTTGATCTATAAATACGTACCTATGTTTCAACAAGTAACTGCAAACTTGTCATTCAGAATAGTTTGTGTTGTTGGGTTTAGCATTAATAATATCTCAGTTAAATGTGGGCAGGTTTCCGAACGAATAATTGTAAATATTGTTTCATTACATGTGCTTTTTCTCCAAATCATTGCCAACCTTTAGGTGATGAGATGTATTGTTGTGTTGAGATGTATTGTTGTGTTGAGATGTATTGTTGTGTTGAGATGTGTTGTTGTGTTGAGATGTGTTGTTGTGTTGAGATGTATTTTTGTGTTGAGATGTATTGTTGTGTTGAGATGTGTTGTTGTGTTGAGATGTGTTGTTGTGTTGAGATGTGTTGTTGTGTTGAGATGTGTTGTTGTGTTGAGATGTTTGAGATGTGTTGTTGTGTTGAGATGTGTTGTTGTGTTGAGATGTGTTGTTGTGTTGAGATGTGTTGTTGTGTTGAGATGTATTGTTGTGTTGAGATGTGTTGTTGTGTTGGTTTATACAGAATTTATTATGTCTCCCCCACCTCGGGGGGAGACATATTGTTTTTGCCCTGTCCGTCCGTCCGTCAGTCCGTCCGTCCGTCAGTCCGTCAGTCCGTCCATTCTTCGTTTCCGGACGATAACTAGAGTTCCTTTTGACCTACAGCTCTCAAACTTCATAGGATGAATGGTCTTATTGAGCAGATGATCCCTATTGTTTTTGGGGTCAGTAGTTCAAAGGTCAAGGTCACAGTGACCGTTGGTCAATTTCTCGTTTCCGGATGATAACTAGAGTTCCTTTTGACCTACAGACCTCAAACTTCATAGGATGATTGGTCTTATTGAGCAGATGATCCCTATTGTTTTTGGGGTCAGTAGGTCAAAGGTCAAGGTCACAGTGACCGTTGGTCAATTTCTCATTTCCGGATGATAACTAGAGTTCCTTTTGACCTACAGCCCTCAAACTTCATAGGATGATTGGTCTTATAGAGCAGATGATCCCTATTGTTTTTGGGGTCAGTAGGTCAAAGGTCAAGGTCACAGTGACCGTTGGTCAATTTCTCATTTCCGGATGATAACTAGAGTTCCTTTTGACCTACAACCCTCAAACTGGGGGGAGACATATTGTTTTTGCCCTGTCCGTCCGTCAGTCCGTCCGTCCGTCAGTCCGTCCGTCCATTCTTCGTTTCCGGACGATAACTAGAGTTCCTTTTGACCTACAGCTCTCAAACTTCATAGGATGAATGGTCTTATTGAGCAGATGATCCCTATTGTTTTTGGGGTCAGTAGTTCAAAGGTCAAGGTCACAGTGACCGTTGGTCAATTTCTCGTTTCCGGATGATAACTAGAGTTCCTTTTGACCTACAGCCCTCAAACTTCATAGGATGATTGGTCTTATAGAGCTGATGATCCCTATTGTTTTTGGGGTCAGTAGGTCAAAGGTCAAGGTCACACTGACCGTTGGTCAATTTCTCGTTTCCGGATGATAACTAGAGTTCCTTTAGACCTACAGACCTCAAACTTCATAGCTTACCCTTGTCTTGGAAAATTCACCAACAGAAAACTGCATAGTTCTAGGAGACTTCAACATTGACCTCATTCAATATTTAGAACATCCATTGACCCACACTATGTTACGACATCGCTTTAAACAAATAATAAACAAGGCTACTACAGCACACAACACACTTATTGACCATATCTACCAGAGAGGCTTGATTGTGAAAACGAGTGGAGTCATCCCAACACACTACAGTTATCATGATTTGACATACATTGAAATTTGAGTTGTCTTTCAATAGTGTAAAAAATCTGACAATATGAACGTTTGTTTCAAGTATCATCAAAATCCTTCAAAGGGTTGAAGAGTTATGGAGCAGACACAATTTCCTTTAATTTCGTTTGTGAAACTATATATGATATGACATTCAAGTGTCAAGTAGACCTTGACCTTGGAACCAGCCATACGAAACATGTACTCTACACGTTCTCTGGATGTGGTGAATTTTTGTTTCAAGTATCTACCAGAGAGGCTTCATTGTGAAAACGAGTGGAGTCATCCCAACACACTACAGTTATCATGATTTTACATACATTGTAATTTGAGTTGTCTTTCAATAGTGTAAAAAAATCTGACAATATGAACGTTTGTTTCAAGTATCATCAAAATCCTTTAAAGGTTTGAAGAATTATGGAGCAGACACAATTTCATTTAATTTCATTTGTGAAACTATATATGATATGACCATCAAGTGCAATTTCGTTTGACGCCCGCCTGCCATACGCTGATTGAATAACCAGGATTTTCAAAATTGAATACCTGGTTAAAAACAAACAGTTTAGGAAGCATCTTCTCATACAACCTTAACAATAGAAATCATCCATAGACAGCCTTCATTGAAGTGACTACCGGGTATTTACATTATCTTATCTCCATTTCCATTCCTGTTTCCATTCACAGTTATTCTCAGCAGTGGGGGAGACATGCGCTTTTTTACAAAAGCATCCTCTAGTTTTAGTTCGATTGTGTAGGAAGCTATTAGCTTATAAACACACTTTCAAATCCGTTCCTGAAACCAACCAGTACTGAGCAATTAGTATAAAGTTTCTTGCTCATGGAAACAACGACTTGCCCCTGTCAGGGTTTGAACCCATGCGGCTAGTGATCATAAGATTACTAGTCCGAAGCGTTAACCACTCGGCCATGCCGCCACTGTTTGTTGTTGTGTTGAGATGTGTTGTTGTGTTGAGATTTATTGTTGTGTTGAGATTTATTGTTATGTTGAGATGTATTGTTATGTTGAGATGCATTGTTATGTTGAGATGCATTGTTGTGTTACATATCATTAGGGCAGAAGCTTTTGCTGAACCAAGGTTTTTGTACATATGAATGCAGTTTATTAGAAAGTTTTTGTTTGCTAACCATTTATTACTTTAGATATTTGGGACAGAGACTTTGTGCATTATATTATATTACACATACATTACAAATACATCTTGATTTTATCTTGCAGATTTCTATGATGAGTGGTAGAAAATACGAGCATCCGCAGACGTCCAACTTACTACGACTGTTAAAATGTAATTATATTGTGCAAGAGATACTGTGGGAAATGGAGAAAGCTTCGGCTAATACAAGCACAGAAGAGATTGTCAAATACTCGGTAAGTGATATGTTGATTTATACAAGTATAGAAAGTCCTTGATCAATGCTGGTAACACTCATAAGACAATATAAGTTACAACTTGCCAGTGTCTACAACAATGATGGTGACTGAAAATCTACTGAAAAGCAAAGTTAGGTAACCTAAATAAGTTTGGAATGACATCTATGGCATCTTTGTAGCAAAGCATTTCTGCCTGCAAGCATGGGATTCATTACTTTACAAAAAGTGGAGGTTGAGTGGGAGGGGGGGGGGGGGGGGGGGGGGGTGGCAGGAGTTTGTGTCTGAAAACACATTTACTTTAGCTCTTTACTCTCTCTTTTGGCATTGGTATATTTCTTTGACAAAGTAGGTTCATAGGCAGTTTAAAGTGGTCATCAGTCTTGACTATATTCTATCACTACTTGATTAATTTTTCTCCAGTATGAATCAAAGATTTTGTCATGTGAGTTATCTGCATGCATAATACATGTTAATATATTTGTAGTTATTCAGTATTTGTAATTCCAAACAATCTAAGGATTGCTGACCGCGTGGGTTCAAACCCTGTCAGAGGCAAGCCGTTGTTTCCTTGAGCAAGAAACTTTACATTCATTGCTTAGTACTGGTTGGTTCCAGGAACGGATTCAAGAGTGTTTCAATAAGCTAATAGCTTCCAACACAATCGAACTAAAATTAATTTGTATAAACCAATTCCAAATATGCTTTTTATTATTTTTAGCTCACCTGTCACTTTGTGACATCTTCTAGTAAGTGTCTACAAAAATTGTTCAAATAAAAGCCCTGGGGTCAAAACTGGCCCTGCCCCAGGGGTGTCATTGTTTTTAAATATATGTGTAAAGAAAAGACTTTAAAAAATTTCTTTTAAAAAATCCAACAAGCTAGACCTTAGATGTTTAGCATGAAACATCTTCTATTGGGTGTCTACCAAGTTTGTCCAAATAAAAGCCCTGGGGTTTAACTGGCCCCGCTCGGGGGGGCCTATATACAGGTGAGCGACTTCTGGGCCATCATGGCCCTCTTGTTTTGTTCAAATTACTGGTACTGATGTATGGTTCTTTATTTTCAGCATTGATGCATGATTATAACTATGTCAAGGTCCTAATTTTTGTTATCTATAGCTGTTACTTTTTCATTTAAATGTATGTTAAAAAAAACTTTGCAGTTTTTGTAAATGATCAATAATTAATCTTTTAACAGAGGGACGTCAACCAGATTCCAGGGAAAACATTGGTAGATAAACTGAGTAATGCCTTAACAAGGTTACAGTCTGCTGCTAATGCTGTAATTGACAGTGATCTTGATAAGCTATCTGATGATGTCAGGCCAGGTATCAAACAGGTAAATAAACCTTCCATATACTGGGATATTTTAATTAAAACATTTCATAATCCTCTAAACCTTTTGCCCGATTTTTATGCCCCCACTTAAGAGGGGGTCATATAGATTTGTCCTTGGCAGGGCAGCTGTCCCTACTGTAATGCTAGTTGTCTGTAGTCTGACAAAACCGTGGATTGTGGCACTATCCATATCCTATGAGAATATTTCTAGTTTAGAATGATTTAATCTCTGCCCACTTGTTGATAATATACTCCCCTTCTTATCTATTCCCCTGTGAAAGGTGTCCCTCTAACTGAGTCCTGAAATTTTGGCATAAATGGTAATCAATATATAAATAAGGTATGTACAAAACCATTTATAACATTGCAAGGATGAACATATGTTGATGATTTTTAAAAAGAATGAACAAAAAACTTTCTACTATGTACAGGAATTTATTTGTCTCTCACTAATATGGACTTTGTAGTCTGTTTCTTCTTGTTGAGAAATAGGTAAGTAATTACTGGTTAGTTATCCAGGAAAGTTAGTTAGGTGGACCAAAAATGCGTTAAATTTATATTACAACCAACAACACAAGCGAACAAAATTTGAAAGTGAGTTATGCAAGCAAATATTTTCTTCATTTAGTATATGAATAGGCATAGACAAGTTATATAAATCAAAGAAAATGTATTAATGTTAAAATGTTATTTAATTCTCATAATAAAAACTATTTACCATCTCATATGTTGTGGGTTATAGGTAATTGAAAAGAAGGAGGGGTTATTCAGGAAGAACATGATGGGTAAACGTGTCAATTACGCTGCAAGATCAGTTATCACCCCTGATCCAAATATAAACACAAACGAGATTGGAATACCTGAAGTATTTGCGAAGGTTTTGTCTTACCCTCAGCCGGTCACACCATGGAATGTTCATGAACTGAGACAGGCCGTAATAAATGGACCAGATGTCCATCCTGGGTTAGTAGGCAGAATTGTTTCACTTAAGTGTAATTTGTGTGCTTTCTTTCAGTTTTACATAGTTGAAAAGTGTTAAATAAAAATGTAAAAAAATAACCACCCTCAAAACAGTCATTGTTTCATAAGTGAGTTTATTATGGGAGTATTTTAATAGAACTGTAGTATTGGCATCACAAATTTTGTATTAGATTGGTCAGGTTTACATTTAACAGGTCAGTAACTGCCTATTAATATATGATTGATTTTATGGACAATTATATCATCATTAGTATGTTATTTAATGTTAAACTGAAATGTTGGTTGACACTGGTCAAGTTGGACATATTTCTTGTTAGAAAATAAAATGGCTAATTTCAAGAAAATGTTTTGTTATTTCAATGAAGTGTTTGTTTTACAGGGCTACCCATGTTATTTGTTTTACAGGGCTACCCATGTTATTTGTTTTACAGGGCTACCCATGTTATTGATGAGAGTGGTTGGGTCACTAGACTAGATGCTCGATTTCCTGATAAACGTGAGGCCTTAGCTAAACAGTTGCTTACACCAACAGTTACTAAAAATAAAACATTAAATGGTGTGAAAAAGGTGAGTATATATTATCAAGTTATACAGTTTTGTAAAAATACAAACAGCTACATTTAGTGAATAAAACTTAAAAGTTGTTTATTAGTAACCCTCATTTATATTTTGATGTCCAGATGACAAAAATCTGTTTAATGGGTCTAAATATTTTTGGACACCTTGTGGCGAAATTGAAAGTAAAATTTGTTAATGTAAGAAACTCCGCCTTTTTGTTCAATCGGAAACATTCCAATGTCAACACAGAAAGTCAACAAACAAAGCATCAAGTCAAACTCTGTTGAATTTGTGTAATAACATGCCTGGCTTTCAGTTTCGAAAAAAAAGATAAGTAGTTAAAGGGATTTAGTAAAGACATTTAACCGGCTGAATTTTTTTAATGGACTTGTCCAGCTTTCAGTTTGGAAACAGTCCATTATCAATTTTGGGGATGTCAAGAAGAAAATTTGAAATTGATCAGCCAACAATGTAGAGCCTGGTCAAACTGCACCTTATTTTATGCTGGCCTTGCTTTATACTTATGATATACATGTATGTAAAGTAATATAGATAGAAATAGAATCCCTAAAAAAGTCCAACATGGCAAAATTGAAAATGTTGTAGGCCTTGTTCAATTGATCCTGTTCATGGACAGTAATGGCACATTGATGTGTAACTTTAGACATATTTTGAAATCACTATAATATAGAAAGATTGTGTTTTATGTTTATAGGTACAGAGACATTTAAAGAATGGTGATGTGTTACTTATAAATAGACAGCCTACACTGCATAGACCTAGTATACAGGCTCATAAGGTATGTATTTTGTTTGTATGCTATTTACAAAAGAAATTGTTGGGCATGCATATCCGGTGGTTAAGGCATCCGCCTTCGGATCGGGAGGTCGAAGGTTCGAGCCCCACGGGGAGCGTTAATTGAAAGATGAATGTTTCTCGTGGGACTCGTTCCGAAATGGCCGCTTCGTGAGTCGCGAGGTAGTTAAAATGAATGGTTACCGATTTCTATCCGCCTGGCGCCTGGCATAGTGGTAGGAATCAGGAGGTACATGGTATGCAAGCAAAAGGTGTCTCATAAGTCAAAATGGCTGGCCCTTTCAGTAGGGGTGACACTATAATAAACAAGACCTTTACCTTTTTATTAGGAAGTATAACTCTGCCTGCTTGCAGCATTCAGGACCATGCATTCTGAAATATTACTCTAGTATCTTTTACTCAGAATTTTAGAAGTTAACAAATTATTTATGGAACAATGTAGACTCATGGGCCAGTATTGCCTATATGATTGATCAGCAAAGAAAGTTAAAGGCTTCCTTTAATAAAAATGCATTAATTTGTCATTGAATATAGAGAAATCCTTTCTTTTGACCAAAAAATGTGCAATATGTTTATGAAAGTGAACGGATGTTGTGAAACTAATGATTTAACTTTCTGAAAGCTGGTTAAATCAGGTACCCACATGGTGTATTTTTAAGTGTGTGAGTAAGTTATTGTTGGAAAATTTTAATTGGTGTCACTTACTTGACAAAATTAGATAAAAATAGTCCCAACTTTAATTAAACTGTTATTAAACAGGTATCTGGAGATTTATTTGCAATAGGTTAAGTGATCACCTGTAATATGGTCTTTATTGAACATGGTCTTTAGCTCTGGTTTGATGGTACTTCAAATTGTTAAAAAAATAACCCTTTATGGTCTAAGTTATGAAAATTAGAATATAGGGAGTGTTAATCAATATAAATACAGTCATGACTGGGTACAGGTCTCACATTTGTTGATGTATATTTCAGGCACGAGTATTAAAGGGAGAGAAGACATTACGACTTCACTATGCCAACTGTAAGGCATATAATGCTGATTTTGACGGAGACGAAATGAATGCACATTTTCCGCAGAATGAAATAGCTCGGTCAGAGGCTTATAATCTAGGTAATTGGTGTCTTTTTGTGTCAACAAATTATTCATAACTTAATGGAAACAGTGGAGAAAATTTTGAAAAGAAATTAAATGATTTGATTTAATGATGATTGATTAAATGATTAAAGCTTTTTAACAGTTTTAATCACAGTATAACTACATGTAGATAAATTGGATATCGGCCTTCGTGATCATATTTCTGCGCATTTGAACTTGAACCGTACATTCACAATAATGAATGCTCAAAATTAATTAAGCTCACTGTTAATGCCATGATTGAATCATACCAAAATTTAATGACATGCTTCCCAATTAAAGTAAAATACAGGTTTACCTTGTAAAACTTAGATTAGGATTTACAATCTATGTTACTGACTACCCTGGATTGATTTCATACCAAAGTTTAAGGAAACTGCGTATCAGGCTGTGTTGTTTTACTGAACATTTATTGTTATTGAGGTGATATTTCAAGTTTCCCATGTGACGTCTTAACTTTAGTTTTGTATATGACTGCATCACTCCAGAAATGCAGATTATTTTTGGTCATCACAATAGTTTTTTGCTATGCTTTGATCTCTAATTTCCTGTTATCACCTGTGCTGATTTTGCAACTAAGTAAAATAGTGGTTCTTTATACTGTGGATGATTAATTGCATGGATATTTTTTGTACTGCAACTGATATGCAAATTCTTAATTATATTTTCAGCTAGTACAGATTTTCAGTACCTTGTACCTAAGGATGGCACGCCCCTGGCAGGTCTCTTACAGGATCACATGGTGTCAGGTGTCTCCCTCACTATCAGAGGAAGGTTCTTCACAAAGTGAGTATTTTTAATAGCCCTTTTTAAATGATTCTCAGAATGTTCTTAGTAGTTAAGATACCTTTTATAGTACAGGTTTTAATGCCTCACCTTAGAAATACACAGAAAACTTTATGACAGTAACAATGATATGGACCAAAATTTATTTTAAGTATAGGTTAATCTGAAAGAAGGGTATATCTTATTTTGCTTAGAATATTGTTTAGAAATTATGTTTGTCTCACTGCTGTAGGTTTGAGCCGCGCAAGTGTCGTCAAATTCTGCATGTCAGAAAGCTATCCAGCTAGCTTATGTTATGTCGGTGGTCCTACTCAGGTGCCTGTTTGCGCCTGAAATAATGTAGGGTGTTCCTTCACCAGTTAAGCTAGAAAGTGGCCATATGACTTAAACTGTGTTGGTATGCTGTAACCAAAACCAAACCAAAAAAAAAAAAGAAGAAAATTTTGCTTTGTTTGATAAGACATATGTTTTTGAATTTATGTCATAGACATGACTCATGTTCTTCCTGGGCAATTTGTTGTAAGGCAATATCTCAAAGGCCGTTTTCCCCACCATAAATCTTAGTGGAGAATTGTGCTATTACTTACAGCAAATCAGGTCATTATTTGAACAGAAGTAAAGAACACTGATCAAGTTACTATCGTCTGCTGTATGTCTGAAATACTGTTGATTTTTAACATAAATTATTTACAGGATTATTACGTATTTTATTTTCCAGAGATGATTATTGTAGACTAGTCTATGGAGCTCTTATTGACAAAAATGGACCAGTCAAAATGTTACCACCTTCCATCATAAAACCAGTCAAATTATGGTCAGGGAAACAGGTATGGTGTATATATATTTTTTATATAAAACTCTTGAAAGGAAAGGAACTCCACTAGGGTCCGAAAGCCTAAAAACAAAAATAATTTCTATTAGATCCTCTGGGGCACTGAAAACAGACAGATATGCAAAAGATAATTACAAATATACTCAGATTCTGTTAGGACCTTAGATTATTTCATGTTAGAAAGTTCCTCATATAGCATACAGAAGTTTGTTGTTTCTACTAAGGTGCCCACCAGTGTTAAAAGTAATAAAACTGGGGTACCTAAATTCTTCCTATACCAATAAATCGGGAATGACACTGTATGCCCTTTACAGTGTTAATGTGATTTAAAATCCAAACAAAAACAAAGTAAAATGTGAATTCGGTAAGCCTTATTTTAAAACAATACTCTAACACAATAGCAGTTAAGTAAGTCGGATGGTTATTGTTTGTTTTTCAACATTAGTTGTTCATTTGATGTAAAATCATAGTCATACTTGAGAGTTTATATTACTTTATTTTGAGTATCGCTCAAGCGGGTGCTAGGGGACATGAAGGATTTTGCACTTTTTCATTAGCCCCCATGTACAGGCTCAATTAAAAAAAGTCTGCAATTTAAATGTTATTTAGTTGAAATTAATGCTTCTGAGGAATCACCTTTTTCCAGATTTTTAAAAGTTTTTGTCAGATTTATTGGGCTTTGTTCTTTTCAATGTATGTTTGTTAAACATACAGGTATTTTTCATGAAAAAAAATGTTAAAAAGGAAGAATAACCATGTCACTAATGACATGTTTTTTTTTAACCTTCAGATATCTTTATTCTTTAAGCTGTCATAAATACATGATTTCTTATTGTCTATCATTGTAGGTATTATCTACAGTGGTTCTCAATGTTATACCAGATGGTAAGCCTGCTTTATCACTTGATGGAAGAGCTAAAGTTCCTGAGAAGGTAACATAATTCACATTTACATTTATACAGCAACATTGACTAAATATTTGATGTTCACGCACGGACCAATCTAACATTGTTTTAAGATGTGTTATACCAAGATTTAACAGACAAAAAACAGAATTTAGTAGACATTAGATTGTATGAACAAAGTGTAGTCTGTTTTAAAGCAGATTTAAGGAAAAAAAAACAAAAAAAACATAGTTAATATCAGTAACTTTGTTGTGGATAATGATCTTGTGAATTTAGATTTAATACATGTAAAACATTTTGTTATAAAAATATAAACCCTTTTATACTGTTTAACTGAACTGTTGCCTTGCTGAATTTATGTGATAAACCTTCTCTTCTTGGAAGCTGTCTTGTTAGTGTAAGAGATTTCAGTTTTAAACTAATCTTGAATATAGCAGCCATCAGTACAGAGTCTGGTCAGATTGTGAGGATGGGCATTCTGGCCTGGCTCTATACTGGTGGCATAGACCTGGCATTGTTACTGCTGTCACTCTACAGGTAATACAAAACTTGTATTGCAGGTTCCTAATAAGAGTTTAAAATTGTTTATTTCAGAGTTGGATAAAGGTTCAGAAGTCTGATTTTGATGATCCGTTGAAATATATGAGAGAGAGTGAGGATGTAATTATAAGACAAGGGGAATTACTCTGTGGAGTTCTTGATAAAGGGCATTATGGTCCATCAAACTTTGGACTGATCCATTGTTGTTATGAGGTATATATATACAAGAGTCTTGCTGATTCTTTATATTTAGTTGATTAATCCTGTACCACCTAAACTTTCATGATGGATTTGCCCTGTTTTGAATATAGATACAATCCATTTTGAATTTTAGGGGATTTTGTAAATGAAATACAAGGGAAGGATTTGTAATAAACAAAAGTAAATTTTACGTTTAATCTCAAAAGAAAACAAGCCGAATAAACTATTTTGGTATTGCTTTTGCATAGAATTTTGGTCAGATTTTTTTTTTTGAACCTCACAAAGTTAACTGACAGGAATGTAGAGTGGAATTTGACTAAAATTTGTTTGTTTGGTTTGAAGTCACACTCGCACTGTATGCCTTAGTAGAACCACCACCGCTCCCTTAAGGTAGTTGGATAGCTTCCAAACGTAAAAGAATTCAGAGTCCATAGCAGGAATTGAACCTGCAGCTGTGAAGTCAACAACTTGTACTGTTATTCAATGGATTCCCTTGAAATTTTCTTAACTTGCATTTTACTGGCATATTTCTAACATTGGAAGCAGTTATATGATAGATATATTCATTATTTAACAGTTATACAGTGGTGCCGTAGCGGGACAGATGTTGACATGTTTTGGAAGATTGTTCATGAACTTTCTCCAGTGGCGAGGGTTTACATTGGGTGTTGAGGATATCCTAGTTACTAAACAGGTAATACTGTACACTTAATACAGGAAAAAACTGATGATTTCTAACTTAATGTACTAAACACAGAATGATATCCTACAAAACATGATAAACTGTCACACTTAACAGATGATATTTTTCCATGCCCACTTACCTAAACAGGGAAAGCATCATATTAGTGATCCCTGGGTTGCTGGTTCGATCATAGGGCAAGGCAAAAAATCTTGGACTTTGACTTTAATCATCAGACTAATGGTAATTTGGCTATCATTTGGCTCTCCCCACTTATAAAGAAAAATCATATTTGGTTAGTAGTCTGTCACTTGTGGAGATATTGGTAATTACCGGTTAGTTATCCAGGTTAGCTGGTTAGATGGATTGCCTATATGACAAAAAAGAAAGGACAAGAATTTTGTGTTAAAAAGGATAAAAACCAGAAAAAAATATACTGCTAGAGGTGTCTAACTGAAGCATTTCACCCTCACTGCTGTTTGTTAAGAATTTACTTAATGAATAAGTGTTAAACATTGGAAGCCATGTATGTGTGTACAGTAAGAGGGCTGGAAAATATAACATCAGCTCTGTTTGGTTGAAATAATGAAGCATATCTCTTCTTTAAGCATTAAAAGCAGGTCATGGTACTTTTAAAAAATAATTTGAAATTGTAAAAAGGTTCTTGCTTACATAGTTTATATTTTAATTGCTTTTTGTCTGTGTTACTGTAGATACATGTATAGCATTAGACTCTTGTAGATTTTAAATTTTGTATGTCATAATATGACATGTAATTTTTATGTTATCTGCATCAGGGAGACAAGAAGAGGAGGAGATTAATCAAGAAGTCTCCAGCCTGTGGTGAAGTTTCGGCCAAGAAGGCGTTAGAGCTTGACCAGGAATGTGGGGAGGCGGAACTACTGAGTGCATTAAAGAATGCCCACTTTAACAGGGAGGAGAGACAGATGAGAGAGTTAGATCAGAATATGAGGAGTCAGACTAATACTATACAGAATGATATTGTCAAGTTAGTAAAAAGTGTCCCTAGATTGTTTAACCCTAAGAATTCTAGTAGTGATTATAACTTCAATTTCAAAATATGTACTGACTTAATAGTGAACAGTTCAGACCATGGTCAGACGGTACAAAATGTGCTTGCTGTTCTTGGTCTGCACTGGTGGCATGGGTATATTCAGTTGCTGTAAGCTAACTAAGTGCTAAGCTTGCCAATTTAAACTTGTTTTTAAAGCAGCATGCCTCCAGATTCATGCTAATTTTCAAGAAAATTTTGAAAATGTATTTTAAAGTAAAATAGTGTGATAGACAGGACTAATTTTAAGAAAATATGAATGCTAGAGGCATTTTATAGTACAAGTAATATCTAGAGTGTTTTAACCTAATACGGGTATGCTGAAGACGATGAGGGTGGATACCAAGAAAATAAAATTGACCTTGACCTTCAAAAGGTCAATTAAAAATGGCCGCTTAAAAATACTAAAATAGGTCATTCAAACTATGATACAATTTGATGCAATTAATTATTCTTCTCAAAATCAAATGATTATTCAATATTCTCTAAGTTTATACAATTATTAAGTTAATTGATTATAAATTTCTAGTAATATATACGGTTAACACGTAAAAATCACCCCAAAACAAGGTCATAAAGGTCATATATATTTTTATTTCGCAAAGCATGATTATTATTATCATGTAAGGTAAAACTACATTTCGTTATTAAACTAATATCATATTTAAGAATCTACTGAATGAATTTGATACTGAAGATTTTAAAGAACTTCACTATACAATGCAATTAAGCTCTCAATATGGTTTCATATGTATATTTCACATCACACTCCTGAATTGACTCAATTGAGTGCCCATTCGTTATATGTACACATGCCAGTATTTGTCACAGTCTGAAGCATTGGCTAGGATAAGTCGTTTAGTCTTTCAATATGTTGTTTTCTGATTTTTGTTTACTGCTCAAGAATGTGACAAAGGCTGTGTCGGTCTTACAAAAAAAAATAAACGATTAGAGGGCAGATTGAAATAAATTTAATTATTAGCATTTCCAAAAACGCTAGAAATCGCCGTTCAGCCAGATTTTCGAAAAAACAAATCGTGAAAAAACCTCATTCCTGAACAAAAGAGCTAGTGTTTGTTCTCTTAAGAGAAATATTCCATAAATTGTTTACCCAGTAAAAGCCCACACACTGGATTAAAGGTTTGCATATTAAGAAAGTAGTTTAATTCTATATAAAGCTAACACAACAAAAAGATGGCGGATGGCGTGCACAGTAGGGGTCTCTTCTTGAGTTTTTTGTCTTTCAATTTGTTATCATGTGGCATTAGATAATGCATTTTAAATTGCTTATGGCAGGTGTTATTCATGGAGAAATGGTTGAATCTTGTTAATTGTATATGTCGCCATCTAGGAACAGCAACAATAACAAAACATCTAGGTAATGTAAACCAGTGACTTTAAGAAAATTAGGGTTGACTGGGTTGGAGATTCCATAGGAGACATTCTTTTTGATTTTAGGGTTTTTATCGATTCCACTGCAAAACAATAAGGTTATGAGCGTATCATGCCATGATCTCATTTGACTTTGAACCTAGGTTGGCCAAGGCTATCCGGTAATTTGGCAAACGCAACTGTAACGCTTTCATTTTCAAATCCCACAAGAATCAGCTGAAATGCAATTGAGAACCTGGTGAATATTTAAAGTTTTTGGCAAACAGGTTGTATGCTTGAGCTGAGAAAGTTGTTAGCATTTATTAGCGTGGCTTGTTTTAAAACAAGTCTATTAGGACAAGTGAACTATTACGGGTGGCTTAAAATTAACATTAGTGATCCCAACACTATCCATGAAGCCAACTCATCGGTCTGTAAATACCAACAGGACTATTTGTCCATATTTTTGGGGGGTAAATGCAGAAAATGTATGGTGGTTAGGGAGTAGTGGTGGAGTAGTGGTGGTAAGAAGTGATAAGCAATCATACGGTCATACCAGTCTTCTGATAACTCTTCTACAACTTTTATATGGGAAGCTCGCTCTCAGATTAAATAATGTTGCCGTTGATGCTGAGTGTCTCGGGGACTTACGTTTAGTGATAGTGGTGGTTATTGTAGCTATAGGAATGTCCGAGTGAGTAATGGTGGGGGAAGAGTAGTTAAAGAGTGGCTCAGCCTCTGACCATTTAGTAATGTTTTGAGTCAGGATAACTGCAAGAAAAGCGGTGCCTGAATTATATAAGTATACCTAGCTATTTTGTGTTTTATTAACAAATTTGGAAAATATTTGGATAACAAAACTTATGCAAATATGAAATATTTAGATGAGTATTCAAATACTTTTGTTTGAAATAAAATGAATGTATCACATAAGTGTGATAATACAAAGCAAATTTTTTTCATTTGAATTTGGTACGTATGTACATACAATCTCATGTAGCAGTATTTATGTGTTGATAAGTTACAATTAGGAAACACTTGGGCAATTTTAGCCTGGATGTGCATGTTGTAGTTTATCTGTTTGGTTGACGTCACAGTCGAAGACTTTGTCATAACCTACTTTGTGTCTGCTTCAAGTACAAGTTACTGTTATTAAAAAAAAGAAAGCCACAACGTTTGCATACCAAAATGGCTTTTTTTAAAGTTAATTATTCATAAATTGCGTGGTATAGGGTTTCTTGTGAAGAGAATAAAACGAGCATTTAGCAGAATTTGAAGTCATAACTATGACATCTCATTCGATGACAAAGTCAGAGGGCGATAAATGTTGCTGCCAACGAAAAAACTTTTTCTTAGTCTGCCCAAGGGTTTTTGATTCAATATGAGTTTTATAATATGCATTATTAATTAACTGTGCAATATTGGGTGTATTAGCACTTCAAATTCAGAGCTGATACATTTAGACCATGACATTATGGATAGAAAACTCAGGCATTATGAAAAATAAAACACATCCAGTACGAGAAAAGTCGGCCGTTATAAGATTCAGACATTCTGTCAGATTGACTGTTTGACATAGTCATAATGAAGCTCACGCTAAACATTTAAAGAATCCAATGCCATTTCGTTATTCATAATAATTAAAGGTTTCGTAATTGTACTTGTTATTGGTTGAGTTTGATTAATAAGTTTGAATCATTTGGTTTTATAACAATGTCATTATTCAAACAGACTCCAATTATTGGCATCATATATAGTAACACAGCTTTTCCCTAATATGATTGCTTATGGGTCAATAAATTAAATTTGTAAGTCGCTGGATAAGGCATTTTAACTGGGATCAAAATATAATCCTCTAGATGCTCATGCAGTTCAGCTAGTAGATATGTAGATGTGTATTTAGATGATGCATTAGTCTCAAGACGAAGCCTCAATCACTGACATCTGACTTGGAAACCAGTGCATGCATGGGCGGATACGGTTGTTTGACAGTAATAAGAAACCCTTCAGTGAAGCAAAATTAAATCTAAGCTGTTATTTTAAATTTCTAATGACAATACATTGTATTAATCATCCTTCTTAATATTGCCTGAATTTCAATATCGCAATGAATGAATTGCATTGGGCAGCTCTGAGGAGTAAGAGTAAACTTTTAAGAAATTTCTCAGGTGGTTAGTCAAGATTAAAAACCTTGTTGAAAGAAATACTGGCATATAGTGCTGTGCAAATATAAGTAGAAATCTAAGTAGCCACTCTTTATGCTTGTATAATGTGCCAGATAGAATACTTGAAAGCTCTATATTTAGCAGATAGGGCAGGGAAGAGTGTAGTGTTCCCTGCGTAAACCCTAAATATAGTGATGGTTCAAGGGAGTAGAGACTTTCTAAAATTTGTATCTCTTACATTCTAGTCTCTTATGCTTAAATGCCTTAAATCACTTCTATATTACTACTACATTGGCCTATAGAAAAATGTCAGCCATCTTGGATTTTTCGGTCATATTAGATTGCTTTTTTTAAATTTTGTTTTGGTGTCTAATTTGTTTTTACCTAAACATGCTTTGTGACAAATTTCAGGCTTTTCCTTTCTTTAAAAGTTTTATTTGATATAGCGTCCATTTATGATAAAGGAATTCGGCGGTTCCTATACTGGCCTTAAGAAAATGTCCGCCATCTTGGACTTTTTTCGGCCATATTGGATTGGCTTTTTTAAATTTTGTTTTGGTTTCTAATTTGTTTTTACCTAAACATGCTTTGTGACAAATTTCAGGCTTTTCGTTTCTTTAAAAGTTTTATTTGATATATCATCCATTTATGATAAAGAAATTTGGCGACCATTTTAGTGGTCACATTAAATGGCAATTTCAAAGGTCAAGATCAAGTTTTTCAGTTTGGTATCCACCTTTATCAGATTCAGCATACCTTAAATAGGTAAAATACACCAAGATACCACTTGTACTACAAAATGCCTCTAGTATCTTATAGAGGGCCAAATTCTCAAAATCAGTCCTGTCTATGAAGTGAACTAAGAAAGTAATTTGCGTATTGCTAAAGGCACTTACAATCCACATAAATTACCAAAAATAGGTCAAAATACACAATAATAGCCCTTATTCTGTAAATCACACAGTAAAAATAGCCCTAATTATGTTAATCACGCAGTAGGAATATTGTGATAAATACAGCAAAATCTGTCATTATTAATCGCACAAAACAAACAAACTTGAATCTTGAATCTTTTTACTTATCTTAAAATCTGAGAACATTTTTCTCAAGTTTGATTGTCTTGAAATATTTTGGCTCATCCATCTGAAGGCCTGCAGCTTTAAAATGTTAGTGGAAATGTTAGTCAGGGGAGACTACAAAATTAGCAGGATAAGTTGTTTGATAAGTTTTTGAATGTTGCCCTATCTTTTTGAAATTTATACATCAGATGATACTTTTAGCTGCTTAACCTTAGGTCTGTTATATTGCAATCCCTTGAAATACCAATGAGCCATTCCAAAACATAGACTGGGAAAGTCTATTATACTTGTTTTGTGGTGAAAAGGGTTAGCATAATAAGACAAGAAGTAGGTTTAAACAAAAGCAGAGATGTAAGGAATGTCGAATAAAGTTATTGTTATTTTCCAGTGCTTGTATGCCAAATGGTTTAGAGAAGTTGTTTCCAGATAATAACCTACAGTTGATGGTACAGTCAGGAGCCAAAGGTTCTATGGTAAATACATTTAAAAGTTTTGTCATTAAGTTTTATGTGAATGTAAGTTTGTGTTCAGTATCTTCATGCGTTTTCATGATGCCCATTCATTCTGCTGAAGAAATTTGTTAAACATTGATTCATGTTTGTTTTAAATAAACAAGGCTATATGTGATACCTCTCCAACAGAATGAAATATTATCACATGACATTACTTGTTTTCATGTTTCTTATATTTGGCATGATTATTATCAAGTGTCATTAAATCATGTAAAGTTCTTTGAAATATATCACATCACATAGAGGGTCCTTGGTGGCTGAGTGGTTAAGACCACTGACTTTTAACCATTTTCTCCTCATTCTTATTGATTCGAATCCCAGTATGCACTTTGGATTCTTTCTGTTGAGGAAGCTGTGCCTGAAATAACGCGAAAAGTGTTACTTGAGGTCCTTATCCTCCACTTAAAATAATAATCAAAACAAAATCAAAATATTTCATGGAAATTATCAATTTCAATCAACATGTAATAAAAAATTAAGCTTGCAGTTGTCTCAATTCATATAGAAATATATTGAAATGGTCTTAGGAAAGTTATAAAATATAAAGACTTGTTGCATAATATAATGACAACTTATCTACGTTCATAAATATGGAATGAATAATACTTTCTTTGGATCTTGTTTTTACATTCAAGAAATGCTAACCTTCCTGTGAGATATAATTGATTATATTCATTCAATGAGTTGACATTTGATATCCTCTATAATTTTAGGTGAACTGTATGCAGATCTCGTGCTTGCTAGGTCAGATAGAGTTGGAGGGTAAACGACCACCTCTCATGTTGAGTGGTAAAACATTACCATCATTTCTGTCATACGATGTCACTCCGCGTGCTGGGGGATTCGTTACGGGAAGATTTTTGACTGGTATTCGGCAACAGGAATATTTCTTCCATTGTATGGCTGGACGCGAGGTATGATTTATTGCAGAAATGTTTTGATAATATTTAAAGTGTGAAAAAGGTGCTAAGTAGTAGTTATGTGTATGATTTAGCATCTGTTTGGCAAGGCTTTGTGATTAAGGTCTTAAAACGTATTTATTTGCCACACTGTTGTGCTTGAAGAATTTAAAACATACATACATTTAAACTGATGTTTGGACAAAAAATAACATAAGCTTTAGATTATTATTGAATTTGGATCAATATTACCATACATGTCATGGTAAATGACATTAAGAACTTGTTTATTATGAGCCATGTCACGACAAAACCAACATAGTGCGTTTGCAACCAGCATGGATCCAGACCAGTCTGCGCATCCGCGCAGTTTAATCAGGATCCATGCTGTTCGCTTACCAACCCTTTTACAAGTACAGAATATGATAGCGAACAGCATGGATCCTGATCAGACTGCGGGGATGCGCAGGCTGGTCTGGATCCATGCTGGTCTCAAACCCATTATGTTGGTTTTGTCATGACGCGGCTTATTTATATATTTGACAGGGTTTAGTGGACACAGCTGTGAAGACAAGTCGTAGTGGTTATCTACAGAGATGTTTAATCAAACATTTAGAGGGTATCAAGGTGAACTATGACCTTACAGTACGGGACTCTGACAGTAGTGTTGTACAGGTACCTGCATTATATCAGTTTTATATCAATTATACCTAATTTATATAAGTTATATCTAATTTATATAAGTTATATCTAATTTATATTAATATAAGTTATATCTATTTATATGATTTTATTTAATTCCATATCCAAAAAGCAAATTTAAGCATACAATATCATTGAATAGTTTTGTCTTGATTCATTAGTGTGTGATAAATGCACAGAGGGGCACCTGACTTCTTCCTTCACCATTACAGCTTGAAAGTTGCCATATGACCCTTAACAGTGTGACTTAAAATCCAGCTTAACAAACAATCATGAAAGAACATGTATTAGAAGCATTCATTATCACTACTTAGAATTTTGATGCATAGTAATTGACCATGTGGCCTGCAAGGTGTATCCCACTATTTCTTCTTTGTATATAAAAGAATTCTCACAAATTATTTTAGAAATTAATATACTTCTTATGTATTATTTCTATTACAGTTTAAGTATGGTGAAGACAGTTTAGATGTATCCAAAGTCGGTTTCCTGATTCCTAAACAATTTCCTTTCTTACTCTCAAATAAACATATCCTCAAGAAAAAACAGAAGAAAATGCCTCATGATGAAGCTGTGGAACATGACATTAGTAAGCTGGAGGAAAAGGTAGGTGATATATAAACTGTAACAATTTCTTTGATATCTAGTCTTTGTTTTGGTAGCACAAAATTTGTATTTAGTTTACTTAACAGGTTTTGGCGAGTCTGTGGCTGACTGGTTAATGGAAGTTGTGGGTTGGAATCCGGTCAAGGACAATGGATTCTTTCATGTGTCATCAAGTTATCTAGCTGGCTTATGAAAGATCGGTGGTTCAACTTTTGAACCAAATGTTCACATGATAATTTGAACATATGATCACATGAAAGTTTGAGCAAATGATCACATAATAGTTTGAACCCATTGATCATAATATTACGATAGTTTGAATCAATTAACATATGATAGTAAAAACCAATGATCACATGGTAGATAGAAGGAATGATCTTATGTAAGTTAGAAGGAATGATCACATGTAAGTTAGAAGGAATGATCACATGTAAGTTAGAAGGAATGATCACATGTAAGTTAGAAGGAATGATCACATGTAAGTTAGAAGGAATGAACAAATGATAGTTTGAAAGAATGATCACATGATAAATTGAACGAATTATCACATGTTAGATTGAAAGAATAATCACAGAATAGTTTGAACCCAATGATCACATGATAATTTTAACCCAATGATCACATACCGGTTATAGTTTGATGAAATTACCACATGACTTAGATCTTCAGATGTAGACACATTCATTATAAACCCACCATGTTAAATATCTGCAATGGACTTGTCCATTTTTCAGTCAACACTTTTCCATCATTTTTATGAAAAAGATTCAAAATATGTGCCAGCTGGTCTGGGTCTGCACTGGTTGCATGGGTAGAATCTGTTGCAGACAGAAGGCTAGGGTTAATTTATGACTTATGTATGTGAATTATGGAAACTAATAATTTACTTTGAATGTTTATCTTTTGATTTTCCTTCATGCAGATTCGTAAGTGGCAGAAAAAGAATAAACACCATGTTCATGGTCATGTGAGGAGGTCAGGATTTCTGCAGTTCTGTGAAGATGTTGGAAATGACCTTGACCTTACTGAGGTCATTGACAGTGTTCCTGGAAGGTCAGAAAAAGATTGGCATCTGGCTATGATGTGGAAAGACTTGAGTGATAAACAAAAGAGAAAGTATGTCTGCTTTTAGATTTATACAAATATTCTTTAAGTGTATGAAAATATTTGACTGATAAATTTGGAAATTGTTGGGCTTACTTACAAGAAATTGTTTATTACTTAATTATTTTGTAAAATGGGCTTGTTCTTTTTTTGTCCAGTAATCATGATGTTTTTGTCCATTACAGATATGAGAAGAAGAGTTTACGCTGTCCGGACCCAGTACTTTCCAAGTTTTTACCATACTATCCAAATGCATTACCGGAGAAGCTTGGAAATATTATCAGAAACTTTGCAAAGACAACTACTGTAAGTTTAAACCATAACCTACTGAATTTATATAATGAACTTGTCCTGCATTGAATTTGAAACAGTCCATTTGAAATTTAAGGGATTTTATTAACAAAATTTTAGCAAATATTGAGCTACCAACAGTATAGAGCATTACCAGAATGCATCGTCTATTGATGCACAGGCTTGCCTTGCATTATACTTGTGGCAAAGGCTCATCACAAGCAGTTCCAGTAGGTTCAGGGTTAATTTATATGAATTTTCTTCTTTATGTCAAAGAGTTGTAAAGTTAAGAAATATGAATGCAGTGTATTTTACTCTTGTTGAAATGAATACAGATCTATCAAGTAGGAATTTTTTGTTTCTTTGCACAATGATTTTTATAGTTGAAAAGTGAAATTACCAAATACTTGTAGGTTTTCTGCATGCTGTTTTTATTCAAAATTTGGCTTTTGATTTGTTCTGAAATTTTTATTAACAGTATCTTACACTTTTATTATACATACTATATGATATATGACTTGTATTTCAGAATGAGAGTCAGTTCCTAAAGTTGATGAACATGAAGCTACAACAGTCTGTTATAGATCCAGGGGAAGCTGTTGGTCTGTTGTGTGCTCAGGTACTTTTTAAGCTTCAACTATCGTAGATTTTTGTTTCAGTTGAATGAATTGTTTAATTGAATAATTGAAGAAAGATCTTGAACTCTGTTTGCAATTTTTATGATAGAAGTCATGTGTCCTTATTATATATTTGATATATGGTATTTTTCCTGATGTTTCTGATAACTTAATATCACAAACATGGCATTTTTGGTGGGTGGGAGTGTGAGGGTTGTAAAATGAAATTTAAAAAAAAGTAGGCCAGTTTTCTTACGCACTTGATAAGAATTATTATCCTTGCTAAATAAAAACTCTTTTTTAATGAATGATAGTGCGTCACTGTAAGAGCATATAATATACAACAAAAATACTACAAACATTTTTTTTCAAACTGCAGCAAAAATGTTGTTCAAACAATGATGCATACAAACAAAAAACCCAGAAGTGAATAACAGGTAGCATCGTGAAACTACTATGACCAAACAAAAACAAGATATGGCCATCCAATAAGAATGATTGTTAAAGATAGGACTAGAAGAAAATATTTACAAATACAGAACTGAGAAGCTGTCATCAATAATTAACTAGTTTAAAATAATCCACTTTGGAGAAAACTCCTTTTGAAGGAAAATACCAAGATTCATGTGAAAGAATTTGCCTCAATATTATGCATATACATGTATATGATATCATCTCAATTATTTCAGTCTATTGGTGAACCCTCCACTCAGATGACCTTGAACACCTTTCACTTTGCTGGTCGAGGTGAAATGAACGTGACCCTCGGTATCCCTCGGTTACGTGAAATCCTCATGGTAGGAAGTAAGACTATAAAGACACCAGCATTAGATTTACCTGTGTTACCGGGGAATGATAACATGGCTAAAGTTAAACAGCTACAGAGGAGGCTTACTAAAGTTAATCTTGATGAGGTATATATGAGAGGCTTTGACACTTTCTGAGGAAACATTATTCATTTATATTCCTGCATATCAGATTCATTTGCTTTCCTGCATATTAGACTGTAATTGGTGTTTCCATATATGTTTTATACATGCTGGAAATATTATTTGTCAAGGGGGTGCCAGATAAGTCCAAAATGACCTCATTTTAGAGTATTTAGAGAATGAACTGCTTCCTATTAGGATGATGTCATTTTGCAGTTATGAATTAAGTTACGCTACTATATAAAAATAGTATTGAAGTTTTGGCAGTAATTTTCATGACAAATTAACCTGTTGAGGTAAAATTTACAAAATATGGTAGAATATGCAAGAAAAAATAGGTATTTATGTACATGTCAAATTTGATTAAATCTCTAATTTGCCGTATATAATAAAAAAGGATAATTTTAATTTGCTGTAGCTTTTGGCCTTCTTCAATGGCATTTATTATACATATATAAATTCAGACAAAACAAGGGAAGTGACATAACATCATTTAGAGACATCCAACTCAATAAGCTAAAATGCCGAAAAACTAAGGCCAGTTCAAATTAGTGTTTTTAATACAAATTACATGTCAAATTATATATAGATAACATTTATATTCATAGGTTATACAAAGCATTCAGGTGTGTGAATGGTTGGCCATAAAAGGAAGAATTAGATAGTAAGTTAAAACTACTGATAGTATTTGTAAATTTTATTTTTGTTTCATACATTTCTTGAAGAACAGAGAAAGTAAAACCCTTTTACTTTCACATTTAAGTTTCTTTCTGTAATTCAGTTTCCTTTTCAATTTTATTTTCCTCATTAGTAAATTTCTTGTTAGCTAGTCTATTAAAAGAATAGGGAGACCTATTGTACTCGGTCTGTGGTCAAGGTCACACTTCAGTTAAGTTTTTGCATGCAAGTTGGTATCTCCAAAACTACCAAAGGGAATGGGTTGGAACTTCAAACACTTAGGAGATCCCTGCCAAAGCGCTATAAATAAGTTGGATTTTGACAGAATTATGGCTGTTTAAACATAGAAAATTTTACATTATCTAGACTGTTGTTTTACTATCAAGAACTGGGTAGTTTTGAATTCAAAGCATGATGTTCTTTTGACACTTCTTGTTGTTTGTTGAACTTAAATCTGATATTAAGTTTTATGAAAACTAATGTTAAATTTGTTGCAGTTATGGTAAAGTTGTAAAAGTTTCCAGATTTACTTGCCCTTTTTATGCCCCCACAATGTGGGAAATATAGCGTTGCACTTGTCCGTCAGTCCGTCCGTCCGTCCGTACGTCCCGAAATCTTGTGAACGCAACTCCTCTTAAACCGGATGGCAGATTTTGCTTAAACTTACAGGGATGAACAACCTTAATGTGTAGATGGTAGTAAAGGAAGGAATTTTCGCTGCGACCAAATTTAACAGAATTATGGCCCTTTGTGGATTTTTTCACTAGATACTATGTAGAAATTTTGTGAACGCAACTCCTCTTAAACCTGTTGGCAGATTTTGCTTAAACTTACAGGGATGAACAATCTTAATGTGTGGATGGTAGTAAAGGAAGGAATTTTTGTTGCGACCAAATTTAACAGAATTATGGCCCTTTGTTGATTTTTTCACTATATACTCTGTAGAAATTTTGTGAACGCAACTCCTCTTAAACCGGATGGCAGATTTTGCTTAAACTTACAGGGATGAACAACCTTAAGGTGTAGATGGTAGTAAAGGAAGGAATTTTTGCTGCGACCAAATTTTACAGAATTATGGCCCTTTGATGATTTTTTCACTATATACTATGTAGAAATTTTGTGAATGCAACTCTTCTTAAACCGGATGGCAGATTTTGCTTAAACTTCCAGGGATGAACAACCTTAATGTGTATATGGCAGTAAAGGAAGGAATTTTTGCTGCAACCAAATTTAACAGAATTATGGCCCTTTGTTGATTTTTTCATTATATACTTTGTAGAAATTTTGTGAACGTAACTCCTCTTAAACCGGATGGCAGATTTTGCTTAAACTTCCAGGGATTTACAACCTTAATGTGAAGATGGTAGTAAAGGAAGGAATTTTTGCTGCGACCAAATTTAACAGAATTATGGCCCTTTGTTGATTTTTAGTTTTCAACTTGTGGCACATGTAGTCCAAAAAATATTTGACCTAGAGCCATAAGATTGACAGAACAGTGGCGTGTGGGGGCATCCGTGTCCTATGGACACATTTCTAGTTTGCTGTTGGTTTAAATCCTGCCAGATACTTTTAATAGTTGGACAGAGGTTCTAATCAAGGGCTGCCCATTATTGTTCCAGACTTATTGTTTAAAGGAGCTTCTTTGTAGTGGGGTTACAGTTTCTTCAAGTTTAAAAAAGAAAACTCTTGCATTAAATCTTTATATAGTGTGGGTGACAAAAGCAAATTTACCTATCATTTTCATGTGTTTATGCCATTTCCACAAAAGAATAAAGGTAATTTATTTTTTTCCTTTCAGTCAACGAAGAAGAGTGTTTAGAATACGTTTAAATTTTCTACCGAGAGAGTGTTACAAAGAACGATTTATTGTTGTTCCAAATAAGATATTAAAGTTTGTGGAGAAAACATACATTAAAAAAGTGGTACAACTGATAAGAGCTAAAATCAATGCTCAGAATAAGTAAGTAGATTGGTGACTTTATATATGAACGATTTTCAAGTTTACCATGCTGGTACTGAAAGTGATTGTTAGTTGCCATCAGTATAGATCCAGGCCACCTGCAATGTAGTACGGTCTGACCAGGCTCTATTCTGTTGGTAGCTTAATTTTTGTATTTTGTTATTAAAATCCTTAAAATTATTATATAGAGGATATTTGTTTGTTTTGCATGTAAGATTGAAATATAATTTCACTGAGTGAACACCAGATGCAATATTTTCACGAGTGGCGTAGCCACGAGTGAAAATATAATAGCTGGTGTTCACGAATGAAATATATTTCAATCTTATATGTAAAACAAATAAATTTTCTTTTTATTTCATGCTTTTTAAGTGTTTTTAGTATTTTTTTCTGATTTTGCCGCGTAAAGTCGTGCATTCTCCTTCGTGACGTCATCACATCATGACGTCACATCATCAATTTTGAAATATAGTTCTGTTAAATTTCTCTAATTTTGCTTCATTTCTAACATGATGTATGGTGACATCGACTTTCTTTTCCTAAAGAAGCAAAATTTACGTTTGACGGCACTTATTTCAGTCTGTAATTCCATTCAGTTAAATTTTCTTTTCATCCACATTCAGATATAGTCCGGCTACAGTGAAAATTATATTTTACAAATTTCACTAGTGGTTTATCAGAATATAATCATCTGATATATTACAATAAAACACTGGAAAGCATGAAATAATAGAATCCCTTAAGCTTTGAATGGACTGTTCCGAATTTAAGGTAGTCTTACTGTAACGTTTTCCTGCCAAAAAATTTCTAACATCGGCCAATATCATAGCAAATCTGTACTTGAATTGTCGGAATGTTATTTTTTTCCAAATTTTGAGCATTTATTATTTACAATCACTCATCCTTTATCCCTATGTACTAAATTCCAATTATTAATGGATAAAAATTATTGAATACCGACGATAGTGAAAAATAACATTCCGGAAAATGACCGATTTATTACGATATTGGCCAATGTTAGAACTTTTTGGCAGGAAAGCATTGCAGTAAGACTACCATATTGTTGGACAAATTCATTGCAAACATTTGGCAGATAATTGGTAAACGGAACTGTTCAATATTCAGCATATTTATGCAGTCGGACTGGAGATTAAAGTGTTTATAACTCAATAATATTGTATGTGTTTAGATATAGAAATACATCATGCAATGGGTAGTTAAGAATTTAAAACATGTTCAATGCACGAATTTGGCATGGTAAAAGTGTTTAATGATCATAAATAGCTCATAGTAATGTTATTTTTATGGCATGTACAAGTGTTCAGACTATTTATTGCATTCTTAAAGTGTTTAACCATAGATGACAAGTTATTTAAAAATAACAAACTTTCGTGTGGACAGATACATTTAAATGGCTTCTTTTTATATGTTTGCTAACAAAATAATGAGAATTTTTTTCTTTTGCAAGCTATCTAGGTAGCTAAGTAAATGGAACACCAGTCGTTTTGAGATGCTTGTGTTTGACTGAAATAAATCTGAAAAGAATATTAAAGCACACATGGTATTCCTCCATTCATAATTATAAGAACTTGGGCTTTGCCTCTGTTACAAAAAAGGTCACTGTTACAAAATAAGTCTTATTTAGATGCAGGAAATTACTTTCACCTTACCCATAGTTGTGCCTTATTAAACTGAAAGAATTTTTTAAACTTTTCTTACCCATACAGTTTTGTTTAACACTGCTGTCATTTATACAGGTTGCTGTCAACAGGCACTCAGAAGCAAAAATATCAATCATCTGCCAAGGAATCAGAATCTTCTAAAACTAATACAAACATGGATGATGACGACGATGATGATGATGATGATAAAGATATGGACGCTGATGATGGAGATGACACAGCGAATAATCAGAAACAGAAGAAGAAAGAGGAACATGAATATGATGAGGAGGACGAGAATAGTAGAGACTCTCTTGATAAAGATCAAGGTATTTAATATGAAAATAATGTTGTTAATTAGAAATGGTGTTTAAAGGAACTCTACTGAGGTCCTTAATCATAATACCATAAAAAATTTAAATTCTTCCTTTGGACACATGAAAATTGAAATTCTTACTGGGTCACAAGATTTAGAAACGTATTAAAGATATAATAAGGAATATACTCAGAAATAAATTGAAAATTGCTTTTTTCGTGGTTCTTTGTCTTATTTTAGTTAAAAGCATTTAAACACTATTCATGGTTTTGGTCATTTTGCATACTAAAAACGATTGTTCTTGAAAAATGAAATTAGCCATTGAACTGAAATTTTGCAAACAAATTATTAGTCCAGACATACATCAAGTAATATACAAATCATGACCAAAATATTTCCAGTCCTGTTGTGTGTAGTCCCTTTAAAATCCCTTTTAATGATTTATTGTTTCTTGGGCAAATTGCAAACTTAAAGTGTATTGATATCATTATTTTTTATGTTTTACTTGTTTGTTCTTTTCTGTTTATTAAGTGAAACCTTGTGTACTTGTGTGTTGATTGTTACCATACTACAAAGTATAAGTTTTTTGTTACATGTATTAAGAAATATTTAGTGTATTCAAATACTTCATAAAATAATGTTTCAATATTCAATATTTTATTAAAATAAAGCCTTTTGTAACCAAGTGATTTCTTTTCTATTTCAAGACACATGGTTTAGAAAATGGGTCCATATCACTTTTCTACATAACTTTAAATTAAGATCCTACAAAAGTTGTTTGGTATTATCATGTAAAAAAACCTATTTAGTTTGTTTACCTATGATCATTGAATACTACATTGCTTAATTAGGCAGGTGGTTGGTACCAGCAAAAGCTTGAATGACGCTACAGTCAAACATGTGAGTAAAGACCAGCCATAAGAGCGGCCAAATATGGTCTTTATAAACAAGTGGTCTTTTTTAAAGAGATAACTCTTGTATATTTATCAATGAAGGTATGTCAAAGAGTGATCTTTATTAACAGAATGGTCCTTTACTCAGGGGTGGCCATTAACACAGCTTTGACTGTATATGACTTTTTAACAATTGTAACATGTAGGGTATAATCATTACAAAAGAAAGAGGAAAATGTTTATATTTTCTTTATTTCTTGTAGAAGATGAGGATGTAGATATGGAAGATGAAATACCTGAAACAGAAGATATAAATGAAGAACTAATTGAGGAATATGAAGAGAGAGAAAAAGACAATCCAGAAAGTCGTATAAATGTGAGTCCATGTCCAGATTTTAAAACAGAAATAAGACAACATCAGTAGCTTCAATTATAAAGCATTTATTTCCATCTAACAGTTTGTTATGAAGACATTATGCATCTTGCTTGTAACAATTGTGCCAATGTCATACACTCTTAAAGGCCTCTTACGCCTCAGATATGCTATCATTTTTATTTCTCTCAAACTTTCTATTTTTGGTATCTCGTTTACAGTTTCAAAAAATAAAAAAAAGCATAAGAAAAGACATATGCCACATAGATTTAACTATCTTTTACTCCTTTTGCTCTGTTGGCAATGGGTACAATCTAGTGAATGAGTATTTTGTATGGAAGTCAAAAATACTACTTTGTTTACATTTTGCTCCCTTTTTCAATTGTTTAACATCTAATTTGATCTAAATTCATTATTAAAACATTATCAAACACATGTTTGACATTAATAAAGCATTACAAAGATATGGATTTCTGAAGCATAATTTACTTGTAATATATTGGATAATAAACACACTCAGTGATCACAATTATTTTGTTTGTTTGCTTCAAATCTGTCTACAAAGTCTTGCAAAAGTTTAAGTTCTATTAAACAGTTTTTTATTTCATTCAGCCTGTATGTATTTATGTAACTTTAGCATATACTTTTAAGTACATCCTTTTGAGGTTTTTGACAGAATTTTACATTAAGATATTAATATGATTATAAGTTAATATGTTAATTTCAGGCTGTTTTACAATGTGCACCAGAGGTGGATCACTATAGATATGATAAAAGAAAAAACGTTGGTGTGAGGTCACAATTAGTGTAAGTCTATAATTAATAAAAGCATTATTTTATCCTTATCCAGCTAGCTTAGTGAAAATTGTATGTTCTATAGTTCTGTAGTGTCTAGGGGTGAAGTGTCTTGTTCCCATTCATTACAGGTTCTCAGTTATGTCTGGAATAATTGTAGCAGGAAAAGAGCTAGTTTAGACTATACAGTGTCAACATGACTTAAAATTCTTCAAAGGAAAACAAATCTTAGCAAAGTTTTATTGCTGTTTACACTGATTAGCAGATTAAGGTAGTGTTAGGTATATACAATTCTTACTAAGAAATTCATGATGAAAATATCAGCACTGGTAATGTTTTGATTGATCACATTAATTGTATGGTTTTAGTTGAGAGGTTATATAGCCTAAACAAATTGGTTGCTTGCATATATAACCCAAGTAGCTAGATTATGGTTATATTGCAAACAACTGTTTATATATATATGGCCATATAACCTGTCTAAAATCTTTATAACAAATTTATAATTAGGAAACTTAATTGTTTGTGTGAAAAAATGAAATTTATACTTAATAAATTGACAGCAGCCATGTATATAGTTTATATTAGCATCATGATTATCCAATGAAAAGCAATGTTACAACACACAGTATTTTAATAAATTATATATGTTATCTATTGCTGCTATAAATTACTTATTTGGGTAAGTTTGCAGCAATATGAAGGAATAATTGTTTTGTAGTGCCAGTAAAAGAGGAGAAATGTTAACCTGAAATGATAATAATATTTCAAAGTCATTTGTATGCTACATGCTATACATTGTGTATAATTGATTTTTTTTTCACCTTTTGGGGTATAAAGATAGTGATATAGCATAATTATATCTCACAGATAAAAAAAAGTATCTGTAAATAAAGTTGATATCTTCTTCTTTTTCTCACACTTATTTGAGAGCATTATAGGAGGTCAGCGTTTGTTGCCCATAACTCTAACATAGTTTTTGCCAGAATTATGGCCCTTTTTGAACTTAGAAAATCCTACATTATCCAGGCTCTTGTTTCACAATCAAGCAATGAGAATAGTCAAGCACTCTGTCTTACTGACAGCCCTTGTTTTTTTCACAGTATCACTGTATGAGATATACAGATAATAATATTGCTTATATCTTTGTAAAAAAAGTTTCTTAGATTAAGTGGTGTAAATGTAATTGTATAATGTGTTGTTCTTTTTTCTTTTTCACAGTTTCCCTTACAAAACAGTAAGATAGATCTACTAGCATTGTTAGAATCGGACCTAAAGAAGCATGTTGTACATGAAGTGCCAGGAATATCTCGCTGTATCCTTGGTGAACAAGACGGTCCACATGGTAAAGAGATGCATCTAAAAACAGAGGGCATCAATATGCATGTAAGGATAAACTTTATGTTGGTTTATACATGTACAGTCCGGCCCCGGTTATTCGACAACCCTTTACTCGAATACCCGGCATTATTTGAAGTGGATCGGCGGTTCCGTTTTTATCTCTATATAAAAGAATATAAATACGAGCGTATTATTCGAAATGAATTATCCGAATTTTTCTATTATTTTTCGAAGTAAAATTTCGGTCCCGATTATACAATTATGAAAGAATTTCACACCTATTATTCGAAGCCAGCCTAATTATTATTCGAAGTCAGACTAATTGACGCAGATCCACTCGCTGACCGGTGGACTTGTGAAAAATATCAACAGTCATGCGTGTATTTAGACAATCATGATAATAACTCTTTGTGTGTTTTTTAATCAATTTAATTATCGAAAATGAAATTAAAGCTATGCACCGTGTCCGATTTTGTTACTGTTATTGTTTTGAAGATGACAGCAATAATTTTCATACGTAACATATACATGTATATGAATTTGTCAAAACAATCAAAACATTTTTTTTCATTAATTGTAACGCTACATGAGAGCCTTTATCCTTAATCGAAAATACCAGAGTTTAGCTGTAAACGTAGTGACAACACGGCCATTATCAAGGCTTTGCGCGAAACGAAACGATACATAATTTAGAATAAAATGCAAGTATTTATGTCTTCAATGTCAATACAATAATTTTTACGCATCTTTTCTTTAATATTTATTTTTCTCGATTACAGGGAGTAAGTGTGTTGTAAACGGTAGTTTTGCTATGATTGGTCGAAGTGGAGTAGTTTTTGTCTATCACAATATTTCGATTTCGATTATTCCAACCCATCGATTATTCGAAGTAAATATTCAGTCCCAGACACTTCGAATAAACGGGGTTGGACTGTATATAAAATTTAATATAATAATTGACTGCATGAATGATAAATGAGCCGCATCACGACAAAACCAACATAATGGGTTTGCGACCAGTATGGATCCAGACCAGCCTGTGCATCCGCGCAGTCTGATCAGGATCCATGCTGTTTGCTATCTGTTTCTTTACTTATTATAGGGTCTGTAAGCGAACAGCATGGATCCTGATCAGACTGCGCAGATGCACAGGCTGGTCTGAATCCATGCTGGTTGCAACCCCATTACGTTGGTTTTGTCGTGAAGCAGCTCAAATAATTCACATGTTAAAAGGAAAGTTCTGTAAATACTCATTATAACATACAAATAAAAAAAAAAACTTTGCAAACTCAAAATTAAGAAAAGAAGAATAACTTTAATACATTTTTTTAAAGAAATATTATTATAGTGATAATATTTGTATTATTACAGGAGTTATACAGGAATGCAGATATTTTAGACATAAATCGTTTATACTGTAACAGTATACATGATATTGCTATGACATATGGTATTGAGGCAGCCAGTCGTGTGATCATTAAGGTATGAATGATTTCATTCCATCTCCTTAGCTATAATGGTCTTATTTTATTTACATGCTTCAAAAATACATGTAGTTTATTTGTTTATTATGTCAATTCCTTTTTAGCTCAACTATTCGATAAGAATAAGTAGAGCTATTGTAGTCACCCGAGCGTCGGTGTCGGCGTAACCACTTATGTTAAAGTTTTTGTAATAGTTCAAATATTTTCAAAGTCCATTGACATATGGCTTTGAAACTTTGCACACTTGTTCACCATCATTAGCCCAACCTGTAAACAGGAGGAGGTAACTGTATCAAGCATTTTGACAGAATTATGCCCCTTTTTAGCTCGACTATTCGATAAGAATAAGTAGAGCTATTGTAGTCACCCGAGCGTCGGCGTCAGTGTCTGCGTTGGCGTAACCACTTATGTTAAAGTTTTTATAATAGTTCAAATATATTTTCAAAGTCCATTGACTTATGGCTTTGAAACTTTGCACACTTGTTCACCATCATGACCCAAACCTGTAGACAGGAGGAGGTAACTCTATCAAGCATTTTGACAGAATTATGCCCCTTTTTCTACTTAGAATTTACTTTAAAGTTTTTGTAATAGTTCAAATATTTTCAAAGTCCATTGACATATGGCTTTGAAACCTTGCACACTTGTTCACCATCATGACCCCAACCTGTAGACAGGAGGAGGTAACTCTATCAAGCATTTTGACAAAATCATGCCCCTTTTTCGACTTAGAATTTACGTTAAAGTTTTTGTAATAGTTCAAATATTTTCAAAGTCCATTGACATATGGCTTTGAAACTTTGCACACTTGTTCACCATCATGACCCCAACCTGTAAACAGGAGGAGGTAACTGTATCAAGCATTTTTTTATACTACCAAGCACTAATAATAGTCGAGCGTTGCTGTCCTACCGACAGCTCTTGTTCGACTTAGAATTTACGTTAAAGTTTTTGTAATAGTTCAAATATTTTCAAAGTCCATTGACATATGGCTTTGAAACTTTGCACACTTGTTCACCATCATTACCCAAACCTGTAAACAGGAGGAGGTAACTGTATCAAGCATTTTGACAGAATTATGCCCCTTTTTCTACTTAGAATTTACTTTAAAGTTTTTGTAATAGTTCAAATATTTTCAAAGTCCATTGACATATGGCTTTGAAACCTTGCACACTTGTTCACCATCATGACCCCAACCTGTAGACAGGAGGAGGTAACTCTATCAAGCATTTTGACAAAATCATGCCCCTTTTTCGACTTAGAATTTACGTTAAAGTTTTTGTAATAGTTTTTGTAATAGTTCAAATATTTTCAAAGTCCATTGACATATGGCTTTGAAACTTTGCACACTTGTTCACCATCATGACCCCAACCTGTAAACAGGAGGAGGTAACTGTATCAAGCATTTTTTTATACTACCAAGCACTAATAATAGTCGAGCGTTGCTGTCCTACCGACAGCTCTTGTTCGACTTAGAATTTACGTTAAAGTTTTTGTAATAGTTCAAATATTTTCAAAGTCCATTGACATATGGCTTTGAAACTTTGCACACTTGTTCACCATCATTACCCAAACCTGTAAACAGGAGGAGGTAACTGTATCAAGCATTTTGACAGAATTATGCCCCTTTTTCGACTTAGAATTTACGTTAAAGTTTTTGTAATAGTTCAAATACTTTCAAAGTCCATTGACATATGGCTTTGAAACTTTGCACCCTTGTTCACCATCATTACCCCAACCTGTAAACAGGAGGAGGTAACTGTATCAAGCATTTTGATAGAATTATGCCCCTTTTTCGACTTAGAATTTACGTTAAAGTTTTTGTAATAGTTCAAATATTTTCAAAGTCCATTGACATATGGCTTTGAAACTTTGCACACTTGTTCACCATCATGACCCCAACCTGTAAACAGGAGGAGGTAATTGTATCAAGCATTTTTTTTACTATCAAGCACTAAGAATAGGCGAGTGTTGCTGTCCTACCGACAGCTCTTGTTATGCTCCATCTTCCAATCTTGCATCTTTCATCCTATGATCCATCTTTCTTGCTTCCATCCTTTCTTCCTATGCTCCATCTTCCTATCATGCATCTTTCATCCTATGATCCATCTTTCTTGCTTCCATCCATTCTTCCTATGCTCCATCTTCCTATCATGCATCTTTCATCCTATGATCCATCTTTCTTGCTTCCATCCTTTCTTCCTATGCTCCATCTTCCTATCATGCATCTTTCATCCTATGATCCATCTTTCTTGCTTCCATCCATTCTTCCTATGCTCCATCTTCCTATCATGCATCTTTCATCCTATGATCCATCTTTCTTGCTTCCATCCATTCTTCCTATGCTCCATCTTCCTATCCTGCATCTTTCATCCTATGATCCATCTTTCTTGCTTCCATCCATTCTTCCTATGCTCCATCTTCCTATCATGCATCTTTCATCCTATGATCCATCTTTCTTGCTTCCATCCATTCTTTCATCCTTCCTTCCAATGATCAATCTTCCCTCCCCTCCCCCTCTTTCATCTTCCTTCCTTCCTTTGTTTGTCCACTATAGTTTACCATGTAATCAAGCTGGCTGTATACAATATAAGCCATTTCAAGAATTAAGAGTAAATAACTCCACTAGATAATGCAGAATAGGTTTTTGTATATGAAGTCTTCATATATGTAAATATATCATATAAATGGCTTTTAGTGTGTCAGAAAGAAGCTTGACTATTTCTTAAAGAAGAAAGGTATATTAGTAACATGTAGACAGTGAGATATTCAAGAAATAGCAAAAGAACCCATGTGACCCAAAAGTAGCCATGTGACTGATCAGCCAACGGTTTAGAGCCTGGTCAATCTGCACGGACGTACAGGTTGGCCTGGCTGCATACTGGTGGCAAAGGCTGGTCACTTTAAGGTCAAGAATGTTATAGGTAAACAACTAAATGGTCACTTGTGACAATAATATTCTTTCATTCCATTTCTTGTAACCTTATTTCAATTTTTTATTTTCATTTTTTGTTTGCTTTTATTTTATTGTTTTTTTTATAAGGAATTGCAGAGGAAATAACTGGGCTACAGATATATAATGAAACCTCTGCATATATAACCTTTATAATTTTTAAGAATGTGTTTGTAGCTTTGACTTGAGGAATATATAATTTAATATTGTAATTTTATATTCTATCAGGAGGTTCAAGCTGTATTTGCGGCCTATGGTATCGAAGTTGACTACAGACATCTATCTCTCCTAGCGGACTACATGACCTTTGAAGGGTCGTATAAACCATTTAACAGGATTGCCATGGAAACCAATCCATCTCCTTTACAAAGAATGAGTTTTGAACAGACTATGAAGTGTTTAGTGGATTCTACTGTACAGAGTCGTGTAGATAGTCTTACATCACCGTCGGCACAAATTGTGCTAGGTGCGAACGTTTCAAGCGGCACCGGATCTTTGGACTTGATAATGCCCCTGACATTTTAAATGATGTGAATATATTAAAAATAGTTGTTACAACCTATAAATATTGGTTGCCACATGTGTTCAGAAATAAATTTGAAGTTTTATCTTTTGACTGTTCTTTTCTGTAGTTAATACGTTTTTTGGATTGTTCAAGTTTTTTATTCTTGAAAAGAGTGCCCAAACTATAAAGATACCATATGTGATGATTGATGGTCTAAAATGTTAAATTGACTTTCAAAAAGAAAACAAGTGGCGTTTTTTGTTCTGAGGACACTGCTTTTCAAGAAGAACAAATCTTGATTCAGTGTGAGTTTCAGTGTGAGTTGTTATGCACTTAGAATAGAGTCTTAAAACATCAATAATTTTGATTGATCTTAACTTCGTGGATTAATGGTTTGGTCATAAAATAGTATGACAAACAAATGGGTGATTCTTACCATGGACCAATGAGTGGGTCTTCAGTAAATTTTTTATAAACTTTAAAACTTGAGAACAAATGGATGGAAATAATTAACATTTTCACAAACCTGTTGCAGTGTTGTTAAACATGGACCAATAGGAGATCTTAAAAGAACGCCACTGAGGTCTAAAATTGTTTAAACTTGAAATGTGGTAGATTGCATAGATCATCTGGGACTTTTTAAACGGAACTTTATGAAAAAGAAAATAATGATAGAAGAAGATTTAAATTGATATTAAGTGCGATTTTAAGGTCAATCTTAGGTCATTTTGAACAATACAAATGATGATTAAGGATAAAATGGAGTGAGTGGAAGCTTGGCAATTTTGCACACAAGTTATTGGTCTTGACGTACATTGGATGTTATAAAAATCTATAAAAAATATTTTTTGCCTCGTCCTGTTAAAAAACTCAGTGGAGTCTGATACAGAACGTGAACGTAATAATAATTATTAACATCTTATGAACCAAGGGGTTACTCTTAAATATCGCTCGTGAATCGATGCATCATCTTTTGAGTGCAGTAACTAAATGTTTCAGCTGTGATATTAAGTTTTATGCATTTTACATGGAGCTTTCACCAAACCTAAGGAAAATGGTCTATGTGGGCGAAAAGGATTTTTTTTTTTGCATTTGCATGAGATTGAAGGCTTGAAATGTTTCCTACAGAGATTCATATTACAGAATGTATTTCCACGCTACCTTTATAAACAAAAATATTTATAAATCCAAGCTGAACCCCCCCCCCCCCCCCCCCCCGTTGAAGAAGAGGAGGTATATTGTTTTGCTTATGTCGGTTGGTCTGACAGACAGGTTGGTCCGTCTTTCTGTCGGTAGATAGACCACATGGTTACCGCTGATTATCTTAAGAACTATCACAAAGTCTTGCGAAGGAACAATAATTAAGAAATATGTATTAATATTAATAATTAAGGAAGTTAAACCTAGAATGATATTAGCCACTTCCTTACATATTTGTTACAATACCTGTAGCATGAGGAATGATTTGCTATAGCGTTGCATAAATGTTTTGTAGAGTCGTGCACGCGTAATTTCTTTTATCATGACTAAAGCTAATTGTTAGAACTTCCATTTTACAGTATATGGCAACATAATAGAAATGTTACATTTTATTACATTAAAAGTATATCTGTACGTTTCCACCGATTGAAAATACAAGTACAGGTACATGATTTAAAATTGCATTAAAGATAAAAAAAAAAACGTTTCAGGTTTATTAAGGATATGCTATGCTCACCTTTGAGTAAAATAATTTTATCACAGAATTGAGTAAAATAATTTTATCACAGAAATTTATAGAAATCTCTGAATTCTTAATGGATATGTCTTACTTGAATAAAAGAATGCTATGCATGGGAAGCTGCATTCCCTATTACAGGTTAAGTAAAATTGTTTATTTCTTTAACAAAACTGCCAGTTTGTTTTTGATGACTATATATTCGTTCGTAATGTGGCCTCCAATAGGATGCTTTGAGTGTAAAACATAACGTATCTACTTTGTGCGAAGTCGAAACATGTTGATTTTATATTACAAAGAAACAATGAAGCAAAATTCAATATTTTCAAATATCAAATTTGAGTATAATATATCTTTAAGTATTCTCATTACAAAATTGAAGCAGCCACACTGAAGCCCAAAAACCTTAAATCATAAAATTAAAAAAAAAAATCTTCCGTATTAACTGGGACTTATAACGGAAAAAATATGAAATAGATGATAAACAAGAAGTATCTTTAAAAAAAGATACACGGCCAAACTAAAACTGGTTTATTTGCATATCATGGAAATAGTATCATAAAGATTATGATATTGAGCATATTTTTTAATTTTACGCTAAAATGTTTAAAATATTAAAGTCATATGCAAATATTGGCACATACGAAGTATTTAAAAAAGAAACAAAATGTAAAGTATGATGTAAATCCTTTTAAAGTAAAGAAGTCAATATATATGATCTACAAACAAAACAGTTGATTTAATTTCGTACTCAATTTTTTTTCGTCTTAGTTCATTTTACCGTTATGCAATTCTTTTAATTCTTTTATTGTGAATGTCGTTTTAGCTCAAAGAAAAACATTTAAGTAATTGAAAATTTTATTAGAAAGTTTATAAATGACAACCTTTTGTAGATACGAAATACCCGAATCAACAGATTTGCTACACCTTTGGAAATAACGAAAAAATTTAAAGACTTTGTCCTTTCCAAAGTAAAAACATTAAATTCCAACTAATTAAAAATGAATATGTGAATATAAAAGTTATAACAAATGAAAGTCATAAAAATGACCTGATTGTTTCAAGTTATGTAATTTTGAATAAACTATTAAAATTATGGTAAATTACACGTTCATTACACTTCAATAATCGCTCCCCGACTATTTCTTAAATTCACAACACTTAAGTTTATATTTATCATTTACGTAAATATACAACCAGCGCATGCCCATTGCGAACTATATCATATATTACTTCCTTAATTGGAAAAGGAAACTATTTGGGAACGTTTTAAGCAGTTATGACGAGAAATCGCTTTTAATGAGGTATTTTCTTTTTTTAGGGTTGATTGTTTGATAAATTGATGGATATTAATAATAATATATTAACAGAAATATATAGAATTATAATAAAAGTAACATTTTATTAACCAGAAGCATCTTTACAACGGCCATAGCGTAATAAAACGTACTCGCGAGGGTAGAACATTTGAATAAATCGGTTTAATTCGAATAAGATTAAATTAAATGTTTGAATATTTCATGAATTTGTTTATGTGCTGGAAGGGACAGATCTAGAGCTATAACAGTATTTATCCTTCAGGCAAAATTCCCAGGTGAAAGAATTATGAAGAAGAATTTCTTGATACTATCGTATTCATGAATAGACCAAGCCTTTTAAGACCCGGCTGTATTATGTGCCAGTTTGATATGCTAAACACTTCAGAGTAACGATAAATAACTTGGGCTATTTCAAGATAATTTTCATACCATAACTATCTCAAAATCCCTGAAATGAATAAAGAGCAATTTCAAACAAGATTTTGTTTACATAAATCTAGCGACTGTAGGTAGGTATATATACTTTTGCGGTTTGATCAATCAATAACGTTTATCTTTGGCATACAACGGCGATTTATCCAATCTTTCCTTTTGTTTTGATAACAAAAATAATATACTTCCTTTCCAAGAAGTGCAAGGTAGAATTAAAAAGCTATTGTGAACATTGAAAATGATATTTTAAAATTCCTATATAAGTCGTACTTTTCTTTTCTGAAAAAAGAAGGAAATGTAAACATATTTTTTTTAACAAATAGGAAAGGTACATTGTACGGAAGCGTCCTGGTGCCAATTCATAATGTTCTATAAAAAATGAACTCCTACGTAGGAGATTAAAAAGCCTAAGTAGGAGTTTGTAACTCCTACTTAGGACTTATAAAGTCCTACGTAGGTTTTTATAACTCCTACGTAGGAGTTTATAAGTCCTTCGTAGGAGTTTATAAGTCTTACGTAGAACTTTATAACTCCTACGTAGGAGATAAAAAAAGCCTTATTAGGAGTTTGTAACTCCTACGTAGGACTTACAAACTCCTACGTAGGACTTTACAACTCCTACGTAGGAGTTAAAAAAGCCTAATTAGGAGTTTATAACTCCTACGTAGGACTTTATAACTCCTACGTAGGAGATATAAAAACCTAATTAGGAGTTTTAAAGTCCTAAGTAGGACTTACAAACTCCTACGTAGGACTTTATAACTCCTACGTAGGAGTTAAAAAGCCTAATTAGGAGTTTATAACTCCTACGAAGGACTTTATAACTCCTACAAAGAAGAACACTTAAAAAGTCCTACGTAGGAGTTATAAACTCCTACGTAGGACTTTAAAACTTCTAATTAGGTTTTTTTTATCTCCTACGTAGGAGTTATAAAGTCCTACGTAGGAGTTATAATGTCCTACGTAGGAGTTATAAACTCCTAAAAAGTCCTACGTAGGAGTTTGTAAGTCTTACGTGGGACTTTAAAACTCCTAATTAGGTTTTTATATCTCCTACGTAGGAGTTACAATGTCCTACGTAGGAGTTATAAACTCCTAATTAGGTTTTTTTTATCTCCAACGTAGGACTTATAAAGTCCTACGTAGGAGTTATTTTTTATAGAAAATGTTAAATTGGCACAAGGACGCTTCCGTAACATTGAATAAATTTCAAAACATATTTTTAAATTGTTTCAGTGAATGCGGCAACCTATCTCGTAAAATTGGAGTCTGATGTGAAAATGGCAAGTGCGAAATCGAAAGTAAGAACAATCTAGAAAAGAACAATCTAGAAAATTGTACTATGTACATTTGTATATTATGTGAATTCCCAAAGCATGTTTTTCTATTATTCCAGCACTGAAAAACAAACTACTTAATATACGATTATAACCTATATAGTATTGTGAGTGCTATGATAAAGGGTTAACTGTCAGATGATGTGATGCAAACAAGACATGACATTTTATTCTATTAAGTCAGAAATTCATATTGCTTATGAGGACAGGTGATTAATAATGTTTTAATAATGGATTCAGAGCAGCTATTAAAGAAAGTAGCGCTAAACACTCAGTGGTGTGTCGTAAAGGTAGCAAAATGTAAACAAAGTGACATTTTGACTTCCATACAAAATACTAATTCACTATAATTATACCAACTACCAAATGTTGACTGATCTTAAATTTCCTGTTACCATGGCAACGAGGGGACATCTCAAAATTGCCAAAATCACTATTTTGCATTGATTTTTTCAATCAAATTATTTCAAAGTGCAGCAACTTCTCAATGGATTGAGATAGAGTCAAAGGCTTGGGGGATCGGGGAGGGGTGCTGCTGCCCCCTTGAAACCCCTAAGCAGAAAGGGGCACATCCCACCTCTGGCACCCCCTGATGATCTTTCTGATAGGGAATGGCGCCGAAAAAGTGATCAATTTTTTAACCAAATGTCACAGTGTGGAGAAAAATGTGCAGCCTGACCGGGATCCGAACCCTGGACCCTCGGAATACCGTACATCGACTCTACTGACTGAGCTATCCGGCCGCTTACACATCATCTCCCCTAAATAGTGAACAGTTCTGAACCGTGAAATACTCTCATGCTATATTGAAATCTGTCCTCGACTGTCACAGATTAACAGAGCAATGTGAGTTGATGTGAAAAGAAGTCTATATGAAGTAATGGGTTGAGTAAAAAAGGAAAAGAAAAAATAACATTATATTCATATGAATCTCGTACCATGGACAGTACTTTTTAGCTGAAATTTATGCTTGCAAAAAAACTAAACAACAACAATTAAACCATTAGACATGTTTCTATTTAAAATTGCAGAGAACTCAAAAGAAAAAGTTGATGGTTGCAGCTATTGATTTTGGAACCACATTTTCTGGCTGGGCTTTTTCCTTTGACCATGATTATAAATCGGATCCAACAAAAATATCCTGCAAACAGTGGTAGGTAAACAACATTAATACACTTGTTACTATATATAGTAACAAAATTGCCTATGATTTCAACTGATTATGAGTGTCACATGACCTATTATGAGTTTGCGGCCCGGGGCCGAGAACTAGTTATCAGCCCGCAGAACATGTGCACGTGCACAAACTGAAACAATGACGTCATATTTTACGTCATCAAACAGTTTACTGTAAAAGTGAAAGTAGGTTGTCAGCACGAATCGCTTTATTTTTATTATGAGAGCTTAAGCGTATTTAGTACAAACACATTTTTGTTACTATTGAAATTTGAAGAAATAATACGACAAATTCATTCCGAAAAAAATTAAAATAAAACTTGCTTCTAGATTCTAATGCTTTGAACACACAAACAGTACACATCTCTGTACAGAAGACAAGAATTTCAACGTAGAACTTTTTGTTGTTGTTTTTTTTAAAATGCTACTATTAGATCTACCAAGTGTATTAAAGACATTAATACACGTCAGAGTAGGGCCGGAAGGTGATAATCGGCCCTGAATGAATAATGGCCCTGGGGCTAAAGCCCTCGGGTCCATTATTCATTTTGCGGGCCGATTATCACCGTCCGGCCCTCTCCTGCCGTGTATTAACCTCTTAACAACAACAACAATAACATATCACTTGCGATTTTGCAACTCTATAAAAATGGTATTGCACGGCCGTGCTATATTATGACGTGACGTCATTTGCGTTATGCAAACATAGTGTAAAGACGCGCTAAATGTTAACGTTACATTATTAAAACAGTCTTCATTATGGATGTGTAATAAATAGAAAATTATATTCGTGTAGGTTCATTACTGAATTAAGTGAACTCGATGAAGGAAATAATATTTTGCTCGCATACTAGTAATATAATTATTATTCAACTCGTTAAAGAAGTTTAGTATTGAACCCACACTCATTTAATATCATCTATATATACAATGAAACATGAGACAAGAACCATTTAACGCCCCTCGATTAACATCATTTGATATGTACAATTCAGTAATTATGAAGTCTTGATATTCTTTTTGTTTTTAAACTAATTGGTGCTCCATTTATATTTACTATTGAATTTTGTAACCGATTATTTCGTGCATCTTCATTTGCACAATTTAATCACATAATTTTAACCCTACACTACTTAACATCGGTTGAATATTCAATCCATCACTTCCTTATTCAATCTTTAATGGTTTTTGAGCAGTTTTTCATTACAGTTTGTTTTTTCATTTGCAACTTCAGCTTTCACATCTCTCATGCTGTTCAACCTGTTGCTTTTAGGCGTTAGGGTTATTAAGCCTAATACTAGGCGTATATCATGGTTAGAAAAATGCTAACCGTTTAAACGGCGACGTAATAACCGTGGTAAAACGTTTAACCGACCGTACTAACAAAAACCGTAGATTTTCAACATTAACTTTGTTTCTTTATGACAAGATATGCCATTTTGTTCATATTTTGAAGTACTCAAAATGATTACAGTATATATCCGAATATAGAGTGACTATTTTCCGCTAGGGTGATACCGTATTCCATCAGATCTGAAAAATACATTGCTGTATACAACTAAAATACAAACAATTGTCATATCTTGTCATAAAAAAACTAACGTAATATTTAGAATCAATTTAAAAGTTTTCCGTTTCTTAGTCAAACATTACCGGTTATTGAATTTTCTAACCGATTTTCAGGTAAAAACCGACCGTACCCATTTAAACGGATAAACGTGACACCCCTACCTTATACCATTATCCCCTATGAGCAAATGCAATCAAACCGAATCTGCAATTTACACTTAAACGTATTTACAATTGCTTTATTGGATTTTGGGATCTCCTAGTTTCCAACAAATTATAGTATTATGTAGATATACACAAGCTTTTTCTCAAATTACTTTGGAATGTTTACGGTATTCTGATAAGAACAACTGAAGACAATACTGGTATATTAGCCAATGAAATCTTTGCACCATCTTTACCAAATACCATTTATGTATCACTCTCCATGATAGGAACAGTGGAAAGAATATTTCTATGAAAGCACCCACAACAGTTCTAATACAACCGGATGGACACACACTGGAAGCGTTTGGTTACGAGGCAGAGGACAGGTACGCGGAGTTAGCAGACGAAGAGGAACATAGAACATACTTTTACTTTCAACGCTTCAAAATGATGCTGTTTGACAACAAGGTGATAAAACAAAAATATATTTTACTCCTAACTTAATAGTGACGATAAATATTTCAATCAAAGTCATAGAATTGTATGTAATAGTGAAGTGGACAGTCCTATAAATTACATACATGTTGAAAGTACAATAGGTAGTTTTGTAATAAGCCCTCTTTTTATGCTCCCCGAAAAATTTCGGGGGAACATATGGTCGCCGCCTTGTCCGTCCGTCTTTCCGTCCGTCTGTCCGTTTTAAATGTCCGGGACATAATTTTGAAACAACAAGAGGTATCAACATGAAACGTTGTAGCATTGAGCAGGTCTGCAGTGCACAAGAACCGTAACTCTGCCTTGCCTTATTTTTGAGTTATCCCCCTTTCCTTATTTTACTCTTTGAAATTTGTCCGGGACATTACTCTAAAACTATAAGAGGTATCAACATGAAACTTTGTAGATAGATCTTATTGAGTAGGTGTGCAGTGCTCAAGAACCTTAACTCTGCTTTGCCTATTTTTTTAATCATCCCCCTTTGTTTATTTTTACACTTTGAACTTTGTCCGTGACATAACTTTAAATGTGTAAGAAGTATCAACATGAAACTTTGTAGGTAGATAGATCTCATTGAGATATCAACATGAAACTTTGTAGGTAGCTAGATATAATTTGATAGAACTGAAATGCTTAAAGAACCTAAACAAAGCCTGGTCTAATTTTGGAGTAATTCCCCTTTGTTCATTTTTACACATTGAATTTTACCCGGGACATAACTCTGATATCACCAGGAAACTTTATAGATAGATAGTTCTCATTGAATAGAAGTGCAGTGCAAAAAAATATAACTCCGCCTCTCCTAATTTTGGAGTTTTTGTCCTTTGTTCATTTTTTTTATACTTTCCTGTGTCCAGAACCTTCTCGGGGAGCATCACCCGGTACAACCGGTTCTTGTTTTTAAAGGATATGTAAACATTATATCTCACTAAACATAATCATAATTGATTCCAGATCAATCATCGATAAAATCTAGTATTGCAGTTAAAAATATTTTATATTATACAACGGTTTTCACTCTGGTACCTGTTGGTTGATTAATTGATATAAAAATTGATTAATTTGTGCAAAGGAGTGTTTATTTTCTATTGCAATATTGAAATCTAAGCCTTTTTAGCAATTATATAACTGTTTGTTTTTTGTGGCTGCTCGTATTATCCGATTTTGCATCTTTGTCTAAGTATGTTTGTCGTGCCTCCGCGATTGAAACGTAATGTGCAAATTACTTTTTCAATTTGGATATACATTTTTTAACATATTTTGTAAATTCAATTGACTGCCGAAAACTGTGACATTCTTTATCATTTTAACATGTAAAATGAATAAAATCTGGTTAAAATCGTTTGCAGAATCTAACTAGAAATGAGGAGCTTGAAGATGACAAAGGTAAACGCCTGCCCGCTAAACGTGTATTTGCTATGGTGATTAGATATCTTAAAGACGATTTGCTGAAAGAATCTGAGAAGAAACTTGCTGGAGGACTTGAAGAAGAAGAAATACAATGGGTGTTAACTGTGCCTGCAATATGGACCCCGCCAGCTAAACAGTTTATGAGGGAATGTGTCATTGAAGTAAATAATTTTTCCCCCAGAAAATGTGTTAAAGTGTTTTTATCATATTGTTAATCGTTTTTTTTAATCAAAGTAAAATGTTATTGTTATAAATTTGTTTTTTCTAACCTTTTGAACAAATTTGAGTACAATGAGAAAAACTACATACTATAATCATTTAACAGAAACAATAATGTTGTACACAATCACTGTTGATTTTACTTTTAACAATAAGAATAATTTTGTCAGATAAGCATTATTGATATATATGCTCTATTAAATGATTTGCGGTCAGAATCCAACTTTTCTGCGAGTTTGTTTTCGATAATGAACTAGATGTTTATACTATTTTAGGCTGGAATACAGTCACAAAATCTTTTGGTAGCCCTTGAGCCAGAGGCAGCTTCTTTATATTGTAAATACCTCACAATACAGAAACAGAAAGATGGGAACGCAGAGTCACAAGTACTATCTTCATTCGAACATGGTGCGAGGTATATGGTTGTCGACGCTGGAGGTAACTATGTTTATCTTTAAAACAAATCTGGATAAAAGGTGATCCATTGGAAGCATCAATCAGAACAAAATTACCTGAAAATTGCAGACTCGGTTTGATTGAGTCTGTGCATGAGACATAATGAAAAATTGCAACACCTCTTACGTCCAAAGCACCGGCTTGAGAAGTACACAAAATTGTCAATACTAAAAGTATTAGAATCAATGATCCCGAAAGACCAGAAGAATGTAATAACACTGAAGTGAAGTGATAAGACATGTTACATTCCGTAGGCCATTATCATTAAATGTATTTTTTGTTTTACGATGTTAAATGCAAATGTTTGATTACTAAAGTTCAGTTCGCATTTTGTTTGTTTTACTTTGATACTTCTATTCAATGTTTCTTAAGTATTTAATAAAGTCACTTTTAACCCAAAACAAAACGGTTTTTGATTATTTCTTTGTCGATTTATGTCTGTAGTTACATGCACTTGGTCATGCAATTACAGTTGATTTTAAATTGGCACCCAAGCATCCGGCCAATGCACATGTATACATAAAATTTAGAAACACAACAGCATCATGTCATGGCAGTTTGTTTGGGTAGTACAACATAACATAATATACATGTTTACAGATGAAATTTTGTCATATAAAGTTGTATACAGTAGGTCGTTAATTGTATGTCACGTTTTATGTAACGATGTATATTAAGCTAAGTTCTTTTAATATTCATTTGTTTTTACCGTTATACCACAGCATGTTAATTAATAATTTTATATAGGTGGAACGATTGACATTATAGTCCATGAAGTTTGCACTGATGGAACATTAAGAGAGATATATCAAGCTAATGGTGGAAACTGGGGCGGTACAACAGTTGATAACGCTTTCCAAGATTTTTTGACAAGAATCGTTGGAAGAAATGTAATGAAAAGATTTCAAGATGAACACAAAGACGATTTCCTCGACCTTCAAAGAGAGTTTGAAGTAAAAAAAAGGTCTATTAAGCCAGATCTTAAATCGAAAGTAAAGCTTAAAATACCTGTTTCGCTCTCTGATATTTATAAAGATGTAAACTCAAAAAGTGTAATGAAAATAATTGAGAAAGATGAGTACCTTAATGGAAAAGTGAAATTTATGGCAGATAAGGTTTTGTTTGACAGCAATCTGTTTAAAAACCTTTTTAGTTTTGCAACGGATCATGTTACAGAGCATTTGAAAAATATTCTACACAAAGAGGCAACAGCAAATACCAATACAATTTTGATGGTCGGAGGTTTTTCAGAGTCTCCAATGTTGTTTGAAGCGGTAAAGGAAACGTTTAAAGGTAAAAACGTATTACTACCTGAAGATGCAGGTCTCTCTGTTCTAAAAGGGGCAGTAATTTTTGGACATTCCAGAAAAGACATTAATGTAAGAATTAGTCAGTATACTTACGGATTCAAAATGTATGGTCCCTATAACCCAATGATACACGCAAAAGAAAAGATATTGGTTAAAGCTAATGGCGAAAAAGAAGTTCGTGGTTGCTTTATAAAACTGACAGACATAGGGCAGATATTGTCATTTAATGAAATTTCAAGGAAACATGAAGCGTTTCCACGTGACAAATATACGGGGTTTAGCTTTAAACTGTATGCTTCGATTAAGAAAGACCCTACCTTTGTGTATGAGGAGGGTTGCTTCAAAGTTGGAGAGATAGTTGTCGACTGCAAAGATGAAAATGGAAAAATTGGAGGTGCTACAGTTCAGATTATGTTTGGTGGAACAGAGTTAGAGGTACAAGCCTTTCTTTTATCCACAGGCAGAGAAACAAAAGCAACATTTTGTTGTCTCGATTAGCCAAAATTCTCTGAAGGATTATATATATTGGAAAATAATCTGTTCAATACACTGTTAATGACTTAAACCATTGTTAGAGGTTTGATGATAATATAAGAATATCTTATGTTTTGGACGAATGCTCAACCGATCAGATTGAGCATTAGGTTGAGTGGATAGTTTAAAACACCATAATATAAACGTATTCCTACATTCAAAGCAAAGTAATATAAGTAAGTTAAATATCACCATTTGATTGTTTTCGTTTTTTAAAAAAAACTTTTGCGTCCAATAAGCTACTGAATAATTATGAGACTCATTTTATATCCGTATTTTGTTTGACGTCATAGGTTTATTAACGATAGATGTGACGAGATATAACATGTAGCACACGACTTCATGTCATTAGATTTAATAAACTTTGTTTCATTGGTGTCCTTGTATGACGTTTTGAATAGCAAGGTAATAAGGAGCAAGTACATATCTGTATTTGAAATGAAGTTGCTTTGTGTTACTCTAACGAGAAAAAAATCACAGACATCAAGTCCTAATTATTGTACGAATGAAACATTCAAGTATTAATTAAATTATTTTTTCACAATTTATGTTTTTGTAGTTTTAGACGAACTATCATTATTAAACATAGCATGCAATATAAGATGTTACAATAATTTTATGTACCGTTAGATTAAAAAAACGACACATCAGAAGAATTAGTTTTGATGGTATACATGGGTGACATAAGTGTGTTTTTAAAAAACAATGACGCTCAAACAAAAATAAAATAACAACAAAAAACAGACATAATTTGAATTAACAAATAAATAAAGTGGTGACCGGAAAATGTATGTTTGAAATATAAAAAGTTCTATAAATGGATATATCTCATAAGGAAATGAAGGTTATAAATACTTGAGAAATGTCAAAAAGGAAGAAATTAAAAGATGAATTCACTCGCAAAATAGATTCAGCCGATGTTTCCTGAGTAGATATTACGTGCGCAATCATCATCTTTTCAAACAGTCTGAAAGCTTACACAACTACAACTTTAACAGATGTCTAACGATCAAAATGTTATGTCATATTATCCTGCAGATGCTGACCTTTTTGGTAAAAATTACAGGGAAGAACTGATTATTAGAAGAATCTTCATTGGTCATTTTTAAATTACAAACTGAAATCAGGGCTAAAATAAAATGTAAAATAGTTCTTGTTATTATAAAATAAAACGTACAAGATATTTCTAAAATAAAAAGGAAAGACTATATATAGTTCTTTATTTTTCTTGTTAAATTGCTGGTGAACCGGTTAAGGCCGGTTAACAAAGATTTGACATTGTTTTATATTTTTTCTTTTTCATCATAGCTGTTCGTATGAAATTAGATAAAACGTTTAAAACTTGTTTGTTGAGATTTAACTATTCATTATCATTTATTTCCATTTGCAACATTTCATGTGTGATTCATTAATAATACTCTCAAGATTCATTAATAATACTCTCAATATTGCATATGATTATATTAAATCGAGTCAAACTGTTAAAAAAAATATTATTAGGGACACCATGACAAATACAGTAAAATCGAAGTTGTCCTACTTTGAAGTAACATCAATATCAATTTGCTTATAATTCAGTTTCTATGTTTACAAAATGTTAAAGTATTTACTTGTAACTTCAAATTTATGTTTCTTATCATCACTCACATCAGTTGTGGCAAGGTTCATACTTATAGCACCTGTAATATCACAATTTTCATCATTAAACTTTCATGAAAAGATGTTGTTTGTTTTCAATAACTTCTTTATATCTTAAATTGTCTGTTTCAAACTTCAAGTACATGTTTTTATTATAACTTAAATCATGTGTGAGAAGAATACTCCATCTTGACTATCTCTAGAATTATGTCCCCTTTGAACTTAGATTTATTTCTTGAAAATATTATTTTTTACTGTAACTTCTTCATGTCTTAAAAGGTTTACTTTAAACTCTTACATCATAATATTATGACACAGTTTGTAAATCTAGCGTTCATATTTCCCAGAAGTATCCCCCTTGAATTTTGAATTTCCTTATTTATTCAATTACTTCTTTATTTCTTTATGGATTTACTTCAAATTTCAAATACATATTCATGATCAACACCTACATCATAATGTGATTTGATTTATTAATCTAGCGTCTGGGTTCCCATGATAATTTTCATATTGAATTTGGAATTTATTTAAAAAAATACATTTTTGGTGCCCCCCCCCCCCACACTTTAGCGGGCATGGGACATTTAGATTTGCCCTTGGCCGTCTGTGCGTCCGTCCATTCTCATGTTTTGTCTCATGTAACTCTAAAAGTTTTTGGGGCTATAGTCAATAAAATTTACAGGAATGTTGATCATCATATGAAGCTGGACACCTTGAGTTTTTGGTGTGCATATTTTTCAGTTAAAGTTATTGTCCTTGACTAAGTATATTTTTTTCAACTTGTTGGTACATAGATAAAAAGTATTTGACCTGGAGTCCTGGAATTTTACAGGAATGTTAATCAGCATGCATAGAACTTTAAGCAACTGGGGGTTTGCTTCCGCATTTTTTCAGTATTTGAAGAGTTTATGCAATTGACTTAGTAAAAGACTTGTGTCGCGTGTAGCCCAAACATATAAGTAAATTCAGTGGATTGACAACACTTTAATGTGTAAGGGACACCCGTGTCCTATGAACACTTTTTTCTTTGTTACTATATATTGTATGATAATATAAATTGCTATATTTTTTTATCACATTTCATCTTTATTACTCTAAATGACTTAAGATAATATTTCTTTGTCACTTACACATGTATGGCAAGGCAAATAAGTCTAGCATCTTTATTTCAAGAGTTTAATTTACTTTTAAAAATTTTGCTTTTAAACATGTTTTATTCTGGTTCTGTCTATAACCATGGAATTTTAAATAATTGCCCTCTGTCTGTAAGCCTGTCTGTCTGCCAGTGCGTCCCCTAAGATTATTTCCTGAGATAATTTTATAGAACTACTTGGAACTGTCCAACAAATTTACTTTAAATAGAGAAACGGTAAATTTTACATGTTTTGCAAACAGTACCATACTGCAAAACAGACTGTCAACATCGTCAGTGTAGGTGTCATACATCATCGAGTGTTTTGCCCCGTTATACCTAGGACACTCATATATGGTGGGGCCACGGTGAGGTCAAACAACTGTGTGTTGACAGTTAGCACCAGCTCCTTTCATCTCTTCTGAGCCATAACCAACATGATGCCCTTTAACCTGCACTACTGACTTGAGCGGATGGCTTGGTTTTCTGATGGCTAGTGATTCCTATCTCAGTCAGCTTCTTCGACATTTACTTAGCTTGGAGGCCTCTAGTCCCGATTTCTACAGGATATAGCAAGGCTTTCCACCCTTTCTTTAGTTAACTGGGTGTACTTGGATGATTTACATTCGTAGACCTCGTCAAGAGACGTGTGCATCAAACTACAAACTTTACGATGAACTAACTTTGTTAGGGATCCCACTGGACTTACACCTCAATGCCATTTCGGCGCCTCCCCCCTATCCATAAAATACATTTGCCAGAAGGGGGATGTGCTACTCATGTTTGGGGGTTGAAGGGTGGCTGTAGTCCCCCTCATCGCCAAGAAAAATTTGGACTTGTGAGGGGCTTAAAATGGCCCACGGTCAATCTTAAGGTAACGTGTAACCAACGCTGAAAAGCCTTTGACTCTATCTCAATCCATTGAGAAGTTGCAGCTCTTGGAAATCAATTTTGATGGAAAAAATCAACGCAAAATTGTAATTTTTGGCAATTTTGATATGTCCCCTCGTTGCCATGGTAACGGAAATTTAAGACTGAGCATGTCGTTACAAAAGCGATGGTATAGTTAACATATATGCTAAGTTTAATTAGTATTGAAGCTGTTAGTTTTATAGCAATTTTAACTTGTAACGGGAGACTTTCAATGAAAACAGCCATTTTTCACAAAATGCTCATGCAGTAATTGGTTAAGCATAACGTCACTATGTTGTGTATTATCGAAATCTCAATATTGTGATGAAAATCCTTTAGATACCGTTATGTTTAATGACATTTGCATGAAAGAAGTATGTGGTCAAATAATAAGCACAGTCAATACACCTAGTTATTTTACAATCATTTACTAAATTTATCTACCATGTCCAATTTAAATATTGTATTTAATAATGTTGTCCATTTTTTCACTTTCAAAGACATTTAATTGAGAATTCATGTAGGAAATGTCTTAAAACAAATCTACATCAGTAACTTTCTGACAACCAGTTTCATTATAAAGCATTCATGTGTATAAAATTGAGTATGTTATTTTCAGATGCGGGCGGGGGACATTCCACAGTCAGTATTTTCTTCGTTAAATTATATTATCAATAAAAATCTTGCTGGGATTGCCGCAGAGGAGATGAAGTTACAACGTTATTTTATTCTATTATATTTTTTTTTATAAGCTAACCCTGTTAACCTTCTCTGTTAGGCTTTTTCTCGTTAATAAATTGCTTTTTCTGCATTTATCAAATGTTAACTTTGAACTTGATGTAATTTTACAGCAATTATTTTTAAATTAATATTATTATAATGTATGTGGTCAAAGTAAAAAGCAAATATGAACAAACTGGAAAAAATCAAGAATACAAAACGAAACGGAGGCTTTCAGAATTGAATAAAAATAACAAACAGAACAGAAGGGGGGGGGGGGTGGGAGGGGGGTTAATAAAATATCCTAAATGATACTGAAAAAGAATTTACTATGGATAGCTGGGCGACTTTAACAACGAATTATAGATATAAAAGTGTTCTAGAAAATGTCCTACTTTGTTTAAACAGTTTCCCCTTTCTTTTTCCTCGTTATTTAGTTTGGGACATTTAATGTGTCGGAATGGAAAATGTTCAATTCACCAGATTTGCTTGGCTTTATGTCTTAGTAGTAGCAAAGTCGTCTCCCTTTTAATAATATAATTGTGTGTGTGTGTTTGGTTTGTTTACCCTCGCCACCGGAATGAACCATATGGGCGAGCACATACTTCATTTAAAACTTGCTTAATTTATATGGGAACTAATTTAATTTGTCTACAGTTTTATCGGTACATGTGTTTACGTGTGTGCCATAATTCCTACCACAAGTTCGTATAAAAGTACGTAACCCATGATAGGAATAAGATGGGATTGCTCCCATACTAAGTTAAAATGACGTGTATTTAAAAAAAAAAAGGAACAGCATATTTAAATTACCTAAGGTTAAAAGGGCCGAGACGTTTATAAAAAGCACCGTCTCTTATAACAGGTCAACTATTATAATATTCTATGATTAAAATGAGAGAAAGAAAGTCTTGTTAAAGCAATGTCAGGAACGCATTTTCCCAATTCAATGTGGCTAGTTATTAAAGGTCTAATTTGATCAGATACATACACAAAGGAGTGTCAGAATATTAAAAAACAAGTTTGTTTTAGTGTGGAAAAGATAGATTTTAATAATTTTCTAGTATATTTCACCCGAACACCTGCTTAGTTAAAGATGTTCTTATTGGTCTAAAAGTGATTGCCTCCTTTGTTCTCATTGGCCGAAATTTCTTTATTTACAAAATAAGGAGGTCAATCCGATTTTGTGATATTTTGCAAATTTTCTTAATTTTCGGATTGACCTATATCGACAAGTTTGTCGCGCGAACGTGATAGAGATTTAGCAGGTGCCCTTAACACTCCATTGTATTGCATCTGTACAACTATTAACAAATAAGGATAAAACAACAAAAAGCTTGTAAAATAGCAATTTTTAAATCAATGGTCTAATCTAGATTAGAAAATTCCCAAAATATGGCTATTAAGTAATATCTTTGTTACCCTTAATGTGATGAAGTGACCTTTTTTAACAAATATAAGGCCACTTCATACTTGAGTGTATGCGTATAACTTATGCTCCATATGGGGGAACACATACACTTTTATGTTTTATATACAGGACAAAGAGAAGAAGTAAAAATAAACACAGGACGGGGGAGTAAGGATATTTACACTATATGGAGTCTTTTAACATTAAGGGTAACGGTAGCCTTCCTTCCCAATTTTGTTCGACCACTTGATTTACATTTTAAAACAATATCTGGCATGTAGACCCAATTAAGATAATTTGATTAAAATTTATAATATCACATTGTACTTCCGTTTCACGGCCACTTCTTAGGGCCACAGTTAAAATATATAAATATTAAGACTATGTAGTATACATATTTACAATTAAAAGTATAAGTCTACATGCCTAGACAACATTTAAAACTAAAAGAGTTAAGTATAGATTTGCAACACCGTCCGCGTCCGTCCGCGAAATGAGGATTCGAAATACAACTTGGTTAATAAGTAAATATTATCTCAATCATAGCAGTAATAGAAATTCTACTGGCAACCTCACAGGATATTGTATACCACATTTTACCCAGTGAGTCTAACCATCCCACTGAAAGTAAAACTCCCTCCCGATAAAGGCGAAGGATAGATGTTAACCAGCAGCAAAACTAGATACTTATTGAGCAGTTTCTTTCTAGATAGAGAACAATATCATTAAAAGTTATAAATGTCAAAAGTGACAAATACGTGCATCCATTACAACCTATACAAATTAATAGTTAATTAATTACATAATTTTGTTACATTCCTCCTTCCACCCCCGGATAGACGACCTGG